CAGAAGGGAACCCTACTGCATTGTTGGTGGGAGTGTAAACTTGTTCAACCACTTTGGAAAGTAGTATGGAGGTTCCTCAGAAGACTCCACAGAGAGCTCCCCTATGACCCAGCAATCCCACTTTTGGGCATTTACCAAATGATCACAAACAAGACCATACAAAAGCTACCAGCACACCTATGTTTATTGCAGCATTATTTACCATAGCTAAGATATGGAACCAATCCAGATGCCTCTCAGTAGATGAATGGATCAAGAAAATGTAGTATATATACACAATTGAATTCTATGCCTCCATCAGAAAGAATGGCATTGCCCCATTTGTTAGGAAATAGACTTGGAAAAAATTATATTAAGTGAAGTAAGCCAGGCCCATGGTTTCCCTTATTTGCAATAACTAGGATATGTCTGAGACAAGCAGAAATGGTCAGATAAGTTGATGTTAGGCGAAATGAACCCCAAGACAAGGACTCAAAAGGTTTTTCTTTCTGTCTCTAACATATTTATAAGACGATTTTTTTGTTGCTTTGTATGTCCCTCCCCCACGGTATAACCCGTTTTCACTGTATTTGATGTTGGTATAATTTGTGGAGGGGAAGGGAAAAAAATAAATGGTTTAAGTAGGGATACAGGTGGACCCATTGCAACAATGAGATGTACAAGATGTCAAAAAACAAACTTTACAACTTTGGGCGGGGTTGGGGGGAAGGGGACAGGGGTTAGGAGAAGTGGGGGGATGTGGGAGGGCAGGGATGCTTGTAAGGGGAAACAAAGGAGGAGGCAACAATGCTCAGTAGGAAATGTACTCATTACCTTGCTCATATAATTGTAACTCCTCACTATGGTATTTTCACAATTAAAAAAACTTATTAATAATTAAAGAAACCTCTCCTGCTATGTGTCATGTCAAGTTTTAGATATTTCAGGTCTCAGCTCAGTTGTCCCTGTTTCAGAAAGGTCTTCCCTAACCACCATATCAAAATTACATATGGCCTTACTCTTTATTTACTATATCAAAGCATTCTGTTTCTATTTGAACTCAGAGTCTGGATGCTGTCCATGAGCTTTTTTGCTCAAGGCTATTGCTCTACTACTTGAGCCACAGTGTCACTTCTGGCTTTTTTTGGTGGTTAATTGGAGATAAGATTCTCCTGGACATTCCTCCCCAGCTTAGCTTCAGACTGTGATCCTCTGATCTCATCCTCCTGAGTAGCTAGGATTACAGGGTGAGAGCCACCAGTGCCCAGGGAGAAATGACTATTCTATTTGAAAGAGTCTAGAGTACCAGATTTGTAGGGAAAGTATAGACACTGATTATTTTTTCTTCAGAATTAGGCACCAGACTGCTAGTCTTCGAGGTGACCTGGCCTCACTGAAAACAAGTTTCCCCATCTCAGAAGTGTGAAGATCTCAAGATAATCACAAGCATTCCATATTTGTTAGAGACAAGGTTCATTTTTCTATGAATGTGGCATTTTTTTAGTTTTTCAGTATGTGACATGTATATGTTATTGACAATAAGAATACATGAAATTATAGATAATAAATTACAAGTATGGTACACTGATTTGTGTATGTCATATTAAATTTTGACACATGATTTAAATTGTCTGATTCTTTTCTTTAGCTATTACATGCATACTTTAATAGAGCATCTAAGGAACAAAAGGATAAGTTTCTGAAGAATCGTGGCTTTTCCTTGCTAGCCAACCAGTTATATCTTCATCGAGGAACCCAGGAATTGTTAGAATGCTTCATTGAAATGTTCTTTGGTAGACGTATTGGCCTTGATGAAGAGTAAGTGAATTCTCCCTTCTTCCATGATTGAGGATCTTTTGTCTTAAATGTAGAATTTAGTGAACTCACTCTAAAATTATTTTTCATGCTATCAGAAAAAATAAATCTATTTTATATGATATTCTTTTTAGTATGACCTCTTCCTAGCTAGAAACAAGAAGCAAGTAAATACTGTATTAAGTGAAGAGAGTGACAACTCAGATACAGTCCAACATTCCAACATGAGAATGCTACTTGGAAAGAAAGATGGCTTATTGTTTTCAATGACAGGCAGTCCATACAGGAGGTCCTGTATGGTTCTGTTGGAGATCCTCAGTTCCCTTGGAGCCCTCAGGTCATTGGAGGAGTTCCCAGATGAGCTGATTGCTAGATGTGACCCTGATGTAATGGTGATAACATAGCAATAGGTACAAAATAAAAAAAGATTTTTTTCACTTAAACTAAGAGTTTGGCAGGAAAAATTTTGTTTCCATTTATAATTGAGTAGAGAGAAGTATGTGTCTCTTATGGTAAACAGATTGAGATCTTGGGGAATTATTATTTGCTGCAGTAATCTCAGTGGTACCTTCTATTCATATGTAGCTTTTGGCTTTTGCAAAATAGGTCTCATTATCTCATTTGATTCTCACAAAGCCTTGAGAAGAAAGTAGGACACATGAATTGGCTGGATAAGGAAAATGAGGCCAAAATTCTTAAATAATTTAGCTCTAACACAGAGGCAAGTGGTTGGAACAGGAAAACAAGATTCATTCCTTTGTGCCACATCTCTTTCACCCAGCTCACTGTTTTTTAAATACTACGTAAAATAATAACGATTTTTTACCATTTTTCCAATGTGTAAATTAATAATAATTTCCCTTTATGCTTACCACATTACTCCCTAAAAGAAACATCCTTCAAACAAAAGGGACTTCTGGATCAATTAAAATGAGTCATTTGAAGATCTGAAAAATGTATGCGTGTTTGTGCATTTACCTTAGGCTATTCTTCTGGCAGCAGTTTTATCTTCTTATTTTAACCTATAATCTAAAGAAGGCTACGTAGTTTTTATAGCTTCAAAATCGGATTCACAAAATGATCCATAGTTTCAATCATTTATTTTCTTACCTTGTGACACAGTGCTTTTCACATGTTTTTCCTTCTCTGTGTATTATAGATTTGATCTGGAGGACGTGAAAGCCATGGGACTCTTTCAGAAGTGGTCTGTCATTCCCATTCTGGGGCTTATAGAGACCTTGCTATATGACAACATACTTCTGCACAATGCTCTCTTACTTCTCCTCCAAGTTTTAAATTCTTGTTCTAAGGTAGCAGACATGTTGTTGGACAATGGTCTACTCTACGTGTTATGTAACACAATAGCAGCCCTGAGTGGATTAGAAAAGAAGTAAGTTTTAAAGTGGTACTGAAAATTATATCTGATAAGTCTTAGAGGGGACAACCTTCATAGTAGGCTGTTCCTTCAAGGCATCTTATTTTTTTTTGGTAATGCTTCCAAAGAATTTCCCACAAAATATATTAGTTTGGTAGGGCATGTTTTTCATCATTGGCAGTGATCAGTTAAGAAGGTAATGATATGACTGGCTTTCTTAAGTATTTAGAACTTGAAGACAAACAGAATATCCCCAAATACATTTAGTAAGCTTCCACTATTGTCCTATAAAATGCTCATCCCCATCAGGAATATGAAATTGAGAATCAAAGACATTGGATAGATAAGTCATTGACTGTCACACAGCTTGTAAGCAGCAGAGAATTTAGACTGAATCTGTCTTACTTCATGCTATCCTATCATTCGTGTATTTTGTCCCGACAACTGCAAATTAGTTTAAGTTAATAGATACTATAATAATTATGATTTATTTATAAAAATAGAGAAAATTACATTACTACTGACTTCCATCCATTAATTCCCAGTACAGAAGTCAGAAGTACACTGACAAACAGCACCAGTGACACACTTGTAATCCTAATTACTCATAGAGATCTAAGGATCTTGGTTCAAGATCAACAAAAAAAGCTGGACTTGAGCATCAGCTTTGAGTGAAAAAGTCAAGCAAGAGGTTGAGGCCTTGAATTCAAGTTCCATTATCAGCATTCACACAAAAAAATACATTGACAGCCGGGTACTGCTGGCCCATGCCTGTAATCTTATCTACTCAGGAGACTGAGATCTGAGGATTGCAGTTCAAAGCCAGCCCAGGCAAAGAAAGTCTGAGAGATTCTTATCACCAATTAAACACCAGAAAACTGGAAGTGGTACTGTAGCTCAAGTGGTTAGAGTACTTGCCTTGAGCTGAAGAGCTCAGGGACAGTGGCCAGGCCCAGAGTTCAAGCCCCATGACCAAAACAAAACAAAACAAAAACCAGTACATTTGCAAACAGCTCTTGTCTGTAATCTTAGCCACTCAGAAAGCTAAGATCTAGAGGATCAGTGTTTGAAGACTGATCCTTTACTGTAGAAAAGTCTGCAACACTTCATCTTTAATTAACTAGTAAAATACTGAACTAGAGGTGTAACTGAAGTGGTTGAGTGTCAGCCATGAGCGAGAAAGCTAAGCAAGAACCCTAGGCCCCTGAGTTCAAGCTCTAGTATTAGCGCGTGCAAGCGCAAACACACACACAAACGCCTGCAACCTACATTGACAAAGGCTACCTACCAGTTGATTAACAGCTTTAAAAGGCATCTCAGATTATTTTTTATTTATATTTGTATATTTTGTATCTCTAACTATTTACAATGTACCATTTAACTAACATAATAAAATATAAATTTCTGGAAGCATCTTAGTATACATTAAAGCATATTAGTGTACAATAAAACATGGAAATGGTTCTGTGGCTTAATGTGGTAGAGCTCTAGCCTTGAAAGAAAAAGTTCAGGGACAGTGCCCAAGCCCTGAGTTCAAGACCCATGACCAACAAAACAACAACAAACACTGATGACATTTTTGTACTGAGAACAGAACGTATATTTTTTGTGGGGGGGGGTCAGTTGTGGGGCTTGAACTCTGGGCCTGGATGCTGTCCCTCAGCTCTGCAGCTCAAGGCTAGCCAGAACATATTTTTCATGATGCTCTCTACCAAAGAAAGACCCTTTGTACTCAAGTCAGTTCAGTTTTTGTTGGATACCTATTTTACTTAGGGTCTATGTACAAGGCATATGAGAGATAGAAGAAAGTATGGAATATTATATTTTCATAGCACACTTAATCTAGATTGACATTCACATGACATGGGAAAATGGGAAGGCACTTCGGGTTTGTTCTGAAATGGATTTTGCTTGTTTTTTTTTTTTTTTATAAAAACAAATGGTATTTACTGATAGTTGCTATTTACTGTTAATTGGTCTACATCAGCTACTTTCTAATCCTTACATGACTTGAGAAGTATTTGGGCCTAATGTCATATCTTAAGGTAGATTATCAAGCTGTAGCTGTACAACAGAAATAACAGATTCATACTGTAGTGCATTGGAAACTGATTGGTATATGTTAACTGCTATTATTTCTTTGAAACTTTAAAATCCGTATGATTTATACAAATGAGATTCAGAGAAGTTATTGATTTACTCCAGTTCTCCATGTCAAATGTTCCTACTCACTCCTTTCACCCTTGCTAGCATATGGGCTAGGCACTGCTCATGTACTTCCTCGTGTTTCATGTTGATCTCTATTACTGTGCTTGCCACTGGTTTGTCTGGTTCTCTGTAAAACTGCATATTTGACAGGTGACAGGATAGAGGGTGTCTTCTTTCTCTCCCTAGTGGACATATTGTATTATTTGCCATAGAGTAAGCATGAGGAAATAGTGAACAACTGCATGCTTGTAAAATACTCAGCCAGTTCTCTTTGTTCTACATTATTGGTGCTTTTTCTTACCAATGCCCTGGTTTTGTTTTGTTTTGTTTTTTGTTATCTTTAGTATTCCTTTGAATGAATACAACTTGCTTGCATGTGATATACAGCAGCTTTTCATAGCAGTCACAATTCACGCTTGCAGTTCCTCAGGCTCACAATATTTCAGAGTTATTGAAGACCTTATTGTACTTCTTGGATATCTTCAAAACAGCAAAAACAAGAAGACACAAAGTAAGATTTTGCTTTTATGGGTTTGAGGGAGGTTGTATATTAGCCAAACATGTTATGTGAGTCTAATCTCTTTCTTCTCAGTAGCTTCTACTGAAGTTCTGACCTTAACTTTGTTCTGACCTTAGCTTTAACAACAACAGCAGGAGGGGTCAGATTTGGAGTAGCAAAAATAGAAAAAGTGATGCCTTGATATAATTGGTAGTTGGCAAGGCAAAAGAAAGAAGGTTCTGCCTTTTCTTTCCAAGTAGTATTTCAAGACTTTGATGTAGTATCACCTTTAGATTTCTTTAATAGGAGATAGTAACATGAAAACAGAACTGCTGGTTAAATTTTGTCTTATGTGCAGAAAATCCTGTTCTTTGAAGTAATTGTGTAAAGTGTAGGAAATTTCTGAGCTAGTATTTTTCCACTGAGATTTTTATAGTGACATTTGGAAGTTTTCTTTGAATTTCCTCTTAAGCACATTTTTGGGTAGAGCCATACAGGGCTATAAACTCAGGACCTTAAGCTTGCCAGGCAAGCACTCTACCATTTAAGCCACACCCCGATCCCTTATTTGTCCAGATAAGGTCTTGAGCTTTTTGTCTGGGCTGGCCTCAGACTACAGTCCTCCCACATAGCTGGGATTACAACTATGAACCATCATGCCCAACTTGTTTGTTGAGATAAGGTCTTGCTGAGATAAGGATAGAGGCTTGAGCCTCTATCCTTCTTATGTATGTCCTCTGAGTAGCTAAGATTATGGGCATGAACCACCACACTTCGCTGAACATATTTGAATGTTTTTCAGCATCAAGAACCCATGCTGGTCAACCAATTTTAATTCAGATCTGATATATTATTGCTTAGATATTAGGTTTCAGAGTTTATATTATAGTTTAGATATTGGATAATATATAAAATAAGTTCAGTTAAAAAGTTAATAACCTCATAGCTTGAAAACATCCTAGTCTCTTCTACTTGTAGATATAGCTCTTGCCCTGCAGCTTAGAGTTCTCCATGCTGCTATGGAATTTATAAGGAGCACAGCAAATCATGACACTGAAAGCCCAACAGATACATCCCTCTCACCTTCTACTCCCTACCATGCAGTCTTTCAGAAGCAGAAAAGCATTGCTGGTGAGTAATAAAGTGATACTTGGTTAATTATAGATTGATGATAGCTTGACTTTTCTCTGTTCTGATGCCATTCACATTTTTATAATTGTATCTTGGTTCAGCTGTACAATTTGAGAAAGTGTTCTTCCCAGAGGAAACTACACCATCACTGATTTTTCTTCATTGCTGTTTTTTCTCCCTTGTGGTGCTAGGGAAATCCCAGGTCTCGCAGACTTTAGGCGAGTGCTCTATCACTGAGTTTCAGCCCTTTCTCCCCAGGTGCAAGCACCATGCTGTAAGATAAGGAGATGAATGAAAAAAAGCAACAGAGATTCTGCCCTTGTAGAGAGGGCCAAATAGAACAGGGAAGTGGAGAGGGTTGAGATAGAAGGGCACCTGATATCCATGAGGAGCAAGGGAGCACCATGCATAAGTAAAATCTAAGGGGATGAGAGAGGGGTGAGCAAGGTGGAGTCCGAGGCAAAGCCATGCAGTGAGACAGGAGCTGGAGCCATTCAGCGGGAGTGTAGCAATGGAGGAGAGTGACCAGAGGAGGCTGCGCGGGATGGTACAGGCCATCTCACCTGTTGTGGACCACGTAGGGAGTTTACATTTGGTTCTGGTGGAAAGCCATCCAGAGGTATGATAGAATCCCATGTTCCTTTTGTAGACAACTGGCTTCTGTGTGAGCTGTGTGTTGTAGGAAGTAGGGAAGTGCTGCAGAGCCCAGATCAGCTGCTGTAGGAGTAAAGACAGATGATGGTGGTGCACAGATGGTTAGAGTGTACTTTCTTCCATCAGACCTTGTTGTCAGTCTTCATGTATCAGTCATAAGTGTTGATACTGTTAAGCCACCTTAGGTTTGCCACAAAACCTGCTATTCCCTTTATGTAAACATCATCCAGAAAAGAAATCTAAACACCACAAAACATGTGTCTACATGTATATGTGTTTGGTGCATATATACATGAATATATTTCTGAACTGAGTGTTTGGCATGTTGCTTTAAGTAAATTGCCCTTAAAGAGACTTCTATGTCCAAATGTGTCCTCTATTGTAGTCTACTTTTTTTGTGTTTGATACTATGCAATTTTTAAAATCATGGCAAAAAAACTTAAAAATTAAGGAAAGACTAAATGTGTTTTATAGTACTATATTTAACTTATGCTAAATAAAACTTACATAACTAAAATTCCTAAAACATCCATATAACATAACTTATTCCCACTATTCATCTTTCCTTGTTTAATATCCAAACAAATCTTTCCTCCCTTCTGTCCCCAGCAGATGTGTGTCTTTCCCTTATCTAGCAGCAGTCTTAGATTCCTGTGACCAAAAATGACTTTTAGCATCTTCCTTTGCAGGATTACATTACTGAGTAACTGATCAAGTGGAATTACCCTCTTCTATCAGGGGTACACCTCTCCCTGCACATCCATTCTTGTGTTTGTCTCTTCTCCATCTCCATACCTCCATGCTGGTACCTGAGCCATCACAGCAGCTCTCTTCCCATTTTTTGTTTGGCCCTGGAATCTTCCAATCTTCTATCATATATCTGTTCGGATATAAGCATTTCTGTCCCCCTAAGTGTCAGTGCCATACACAGTTGCACTTTATTATTATGTTTTATTCTTTTTATGCTGGCACTGTCAATTGAACTCAGGGCCTCATGCTGTTACTTGTCTTTTTCATTCATGGCTGGTATTCCACCACTTGAGCCACACTTCCAGTTCCAGCTTCTTTCTGGTTAATTGGAGATAGGATTTGTCTGCCCAAAATGGCGATCTTCAGATCTTAACCTCCTAATTAGCTAGGATTAATGGCCTGATGAGCCCCCAGTGTCCAGCTGTGTTTTGTTGTTGTTGTTCTTTGATTCCGTTTTTATTTCTTTTTTGTCATTCGTGGGGCTTGAACTCTAGGCCTAGGTGCTGTCCCTGAGCTCTTCAGCTCAAGGCGAGTGCTCTTCCACTTGAGCCACACAGCCACGTCTGGTTTTCTGGTGGTTAATTGGATTATATCCAATTAAGTCTCATGGACTTTCCTGCCCAGGCTGGCTTTGAACCACGCTCCTCAGATCTCAGCCATCTGAGTAGCTTGGATTATAGGTGTGAGTCACCGGCGCCTTCTTGAATCAGTTTTAAATGGGCAACAGACTTTTAGTCTTTTTACTATAACAGCTTCTTTTCTTTTTTCTGTCTCTTGTAGTTTCTTACATGGCGTTTATGCACTTTAAGTAAATGCAGTTTCTGTGAATGATATGAGGGCTATCGAATCCTCCAAGTTACCTGCTTTAGCTTCCTCATTTTTCATACTTACTTCATCTGAGAATTAGTAACTACACACCCCACAACTTCTCCTTGTGTCCTGCACATATCTGTTCATGCCAGGGCAGCATAGCTATTAGAACATGTCTCCCCAAGGTTCTTCCCAGATTCTTCCCATTTGGAATGCTGCCAGGATTTAAATACTTTTTTTTTTAACTTTTCAGGGGTTTTTTTTGTAATTTTTTTCTGAACTTCAAAAGGTTATACAAGGGTGTTTAACATGTCATTCTGTCTCATACCTCTTAGTTAGTGACACACCATCCATCTTTCTCTCCCAGCCTGTCTGTTCTCTCCTCCAGACTTATTTCACATTTCTTACTTCCTTTACCACATAAATAAATTGAATGTTCTTGCAGTATTTGTCCCTTGTATCCTTTTTTATTCATCTATCCCACTCCCATTACCCTTCTCTTAGAGTCTTGCTGTAGCTTTGTGATACTCATTTTGTTTTGTTTTTTTTTGTTTTTGGGTCCGGTCATGGGGCCTGAACTCTGGGCCTGGGCGCTGTCCCTCAGCTCTTCAGCTCAAGGCTAGCGCTCTACCATTTGAGCCACAGTGCCACTTCCAGCTTTTTTCTTTTTGCTTATGTAGTGCTGAGGAATCGAACCGAGGGCCTCCTGCATGCAAGGCAAGCACTCTACCGCTGAGCCACCTTCCCAGCCCTGTGATACTCATTTTGTTAAACTGTTAATTGTTGGAAAAATTTGCTCCTTCATATACTATAGTCAACTAAATTGCATATATGACTATGCTTCTATGTATGATTATGTGGAAGATTGTATTTTGGGTGTAAGATTTACATATGAGAGGAAACATGCCAGAATTTAAATTCTGTCTGTGAATTCAGTTTGCATAATATTGTTCTATATGTGTTAAATTGTTTCTTTGTAGTTAAAAAAATAGGCACATATATTTGGGAAAGATTATGTTTGCTTTTGTAGTAATGGGTTTTAATTTAGGACCTCATGCTTGCTAGCAGGCATACTTGAGCCACACCCCAGCTCGAGATTATTGTGTTTTTTTTAATATTGCTTCACTGTTAGGTACAAGTTATGGTATAATGTACACTGGCTTTGGGCCTAGTGTGATAGTATATGCTTGCAATCCCAACTACTAAGGAGGCAGAGATTAGGAGGGCTGTAGTGTAGTTCGGGAGGTAAAAAGTTAATAAGACTATCTCAGGCAACAAGCTTGAATGCTAAGAAGGGAAGCATGGGTAGGAGGATCACAGTTGAAGGCCTGTCCTGAGAAAAACATTAGACCTTATCCAAAAAAGAACTGAGAGTGTAGCTCAAGTGGTAGAGGTCCCGAGTTCAAACCCCAGGAACACCAGATAAAAAGTATATACTTACACAGTGTAGTCACAAATTAATAATACTACCTAAAATACTGAACACTTGAAAATATTTTAGTGGGATAAATACCATTAAAATCTCGTAGAACAGCTGGGTACCAGTGACTCAATACTGTAATTCTAGCTTCTCGGGAAGCTGAGATCTGAGGATCATGGTTTGAATCCAGCCTAGGCAGGAAGGTCTCCAATAAACTACCAAAAAGTTGGAAGTGGAGTTGTGGCTCAAGTGGCAAGGCACTAACTTTGAGCAAAAAGCTCAGGGACAGCACCTAGGCCCTGAATTCAAGCCCCAGGACTAGCAGCTCCCCCACCAAAAAAAAAGGCATTAAAACTTGTTACAATTCATTATATGTAAGTAATTTTACAGAAGTAATTTATGGAAATTGATATTTGTTTTCACAATTTAAAACAAAGGTTCAATTCCAATGAAGGGTTCTGTTATTCCTCACCTACCAAGATGTCACTTTGGCTCCTATGGCCAGCTACCAATGCCCTTCTCCAGGGGTCTGTTAAGTGAAGACTCCTCCCCCTGGCTCTCTCCTAGATGTGATACCAACACAGTGCCTCCCAGAGAAGGTGCAGTAAAGGAAATGGAGTGGTTCTCGGGGAATGCTTTTGGAGCACTCAATTCCAGCTGATGCTTACACTCGAATCACTGGGCTTTGTTCCCCTTTTTCATCTCTCATTGGCTGATATCTACTTTGTCACCTCATACTCTTTTCAAAATTAAAATTCAGCTACAATAATTATTTAGAAACCAGTGGTCTTATGAAAACATAATTTACTCTAAAGTCTTGATGATTTTAAAATACAAAGAAGTGGAATGGTATCCAAAGAGATTTTATTACCAAAGCATTTTTAACCACTAGTAATACCTAGTATACCACTAGTATACTTTTCAGAGTATTAGACACATGATGACCTTTCTATGATGCCATGTGTATCACTAGCTTCAACATTGTCATTTTAGACTTGGAACCAAAAGTACTGTTGCACTTCTTTGAAGAGGGAAAAATCATCCCTTTCTCTCAATCACTTACCTTAATATAAATTTAACTTTGAAATAACTTTTTCTTTTCATGGCCTAGTAATCACACAGTTGCAATAAAAATAGATTTCCTTGATCATTGTTAACACTGACATTGGATGTTTTAATTTTTATACTTGAAGGTCCTCGAAAATTTCCCCTAGCTCAAACTGAATCTCTTCTGATGAAAATGCGTTCAGTGGCCAGTGATGAGCTCCATTCGATGGTGCAGCGGCGAATGAGCCAGGAGCACCCCTGCCACGCCACGGAGACGGAGCTCGCACAAAGACTGCAGAGACTCATCATCTTAGCAGCCAACAGGATCATCTACCAAGGTAGGACGAAGGAGGTCATTAAGTAGGCCCAGGGAGTTCATGTGTTCTTTCTTGCATGTTCAATTGAAGGAGAAGTAATTTCAGAAAAAATGGTGGTTTTTCCTTTTAACATCCCACCTTATAAAAGGATTTTTTTTTAATTTTGGAACTGATAGTCTTGAAGCCCATTTTTTAATGTAGTAAATGCTTAGATAGACCATTAATTTAAACAATATAGTACCTCCATGTTGTCTTGTTTTTCTTTTGCTTTGTGATAATTATTGATTTGGATGCAGTTTTAAGAAATAATAAATCCTGTATAGCATTTACTCTTCTTTCCAGTGAATCTTGCCAAGGCATAATACAGTATCACTCTGTGGGGAGTGACATGAACACAGGCAAGAAACAGATATTTTGTCCCCAAAGGGTCCCTCTTGCCCTTTTATAGCCACACCCACATCCTCCCAAGCCAGTCCTCCTCAGCTCCTGGCCTAAACCTCTAATCTGTCTTTTCAAAATAAGCTAGTCATAGCCGCACAAGCCTGTGGTCCTACCACTCAGGGCTAAGGTGGAAGGATTGCATAAATCCAGAAATTCCAGGCCAGTCTGGCAACCTGACAAGACTTCATTTAAAGACAAAATGTTACATGCCTAGAATCATACAGCACATACATAGCCTTTTAGGTTGGCTTTGTTCACATGGCCCAATTCTCTGAAAAGCCAGAGCTTGTTGCATGTATGCATTATTGTTACTTTTATGTTTGACTTGGCAGTTTTCTATGGTGTGGGTGAACAACAGTTTAGTTTAACCACTCACCTGTTAAAGGGTATCTGGGCCATTTTCCTTTTGGGCTTGTTACAAATAAAGTTTCAACATTCTTGTACAGATTTTTGTTCAAACAGAAATCTTTATCTTTCCGAGATGAGTATCTCTGGACACATGTCTTAGGCTATATGGCAGTTACATGTTTAATTTTTTTTAGCATTTATTAGATGTATGAGGGGAGGTTTCATTGTGACATTTCCATTCATACATGGAAGGTACCCTGATCAAACTCACTCTGTTTCTCTACTTCACCTCCTCTCTCTTCTTACATTGATTTCAACATGTTTCATTGTTCTTTGTACATGCATATAAGCCATGTTGACCATAATCATGTTCCTTTACCCTCTCTGTTCACCCTCTCCCTCCTGTTGGTACCCGTCCTCATGTATTTCATTGTTACCACTTAACTTTTCCTGAGTGATTATGCAATTTTGTATTCCTATCATAAGTGTACAATGATCCAAGATTCTTTGCATTGAGTATTTGAGGTGGTCACTACTTTTTATTTTAGCCAACTCTGTAGATATACAGTGGTATAGCATTGTGGTTTTGACTTGCATGTCTATAGTGGCCAATGTAAAGGTAATACCTAGAGTAACTACTAAAAAAGCTGTGTCAAAAGGAAAATGCACTGAAAAATACTATACATGAGAAGCTGAGGCAGGAGGGTCACAAGTTCAATGCCGGTCTGGGCTACAAAACCTAAAGAGGCTAACTGGCTAAAAAAGAGACTACATCAAAAAGAAAAGCTTATTGTATGTAATGTTCTTAGCAGGTGTGCATACACACCTACACACAGTTGAGCATGTCAGGTAATAAATGTTTACCTGCTTTATTGTAATACTCATTCAACAGTGTGTATGTGTTCAAAACACCAAGTTCTGTTCTTCAAATATATACAATAGATAGTTTCTGTAAAGACAAAACATTAAAATAGTATAGGTAAGTCAAACTGGAATTCTGAAAAAAAAATGTTCATATAACCTCAGGAAGGCAAAAGAAGAATATAATCATTGCTAATCACTAGATAAGCATGAAAAAAATCCAAGCAGGGGGAGAAGGGTTGTGAGATAGCATCATTCTGTTTTAGCTTTTCAGATTTTTAATTGGGGCAACAGGCTCCCGGGCTAGTTAACATGTAAGTTGGATAGCACATGAAGTGAAACATTCAGCTCTGCAGATCCATTCCAAGAATCATACAGTCTGAACAATTTTGCATTTGATCTTATCTTTCATTAGTAAATTAAATCTTTAATTTAGAATTTCATGACATAATTTTAAACGTCTACATTGTTTTTAGTTAATTCACTTTCTTTATTATGTCTAGTGTATCCAGCATACCTACTACACTGTAGTAACTGCATTTGTAATTTAATGGAGTATTTCTACCAGCGTCAGTACCATTTACAACAGCTAGGTGTCAGTGATAGGACTAATTTATTTTGTTTCTTAATTCAGAGTTTAACCCAGAAGTTATTGACATTTTGAGAACTCCAGAAAATACAACTCAAAACAAGACTTTGGTTTCTCAGACTGAAATTTCTGAAGAAAATATGCATGAACAGCCTTCTGTCTTCAATCCATTTCAGAAAGACATGTTGACATATCTGGTAGAGGGATTCAAAGTGTCTATTGTAAGTAAATAAATTACTTGGTTTGTTCATTTGTGCAAAGGAGAAGGCTTTGTGTCTGTGACATGTCTTCAAAATAATTTTCTTTGTGCTTTCAGAGAAACTGAAACCACTTGAATTTTTAATAATAAAAAAATATATATTGCTAGCTTAATTATTGGAAAGTGCCTTCCTCTGCTACATTGTTTTTTTGTTTTTGTTTTTTGTTTATTTTGTTTTTGTTTTTTGTTAGTCATGGGGCTTGAACTCTGGGCCTGGGCACTGTCCCTCGGCTCTTCAGCTCAAGGTTAGCGCACTACCACTTGAGTCACAGCACCATTTCAGCTTTTTTGGTGGTTTACGGAGATAAGAGTCTCATGGACTTCCTGCCCAGGCTGGCTTTGAACAGCAATCCACAGATCTCAGCCTCCTGAGTAGCTAGGATTACAGGCAAGAGCCACTGGCGTCCGGCTTACAACATTGGTTTTTAAGGCTGTGCCCTGAAAGTCATTTTCTTATATAGTCTAGAAGATCAACATCAGATAAGAGAAAGGGTTTGATGAATAAGTTAATACTTATTCTGACTAAATTAGTAGCTTTTTTAAAAAATGACTTTTATCATTCTGCTCTTGAATTTCTGGAGTATTTTAAGGTTGAGATTTTGGCCACCTTCAAAAGAATACAGTAGTGACTGGTGTCAGAGTTTGTTTATTATTGTTTCACTTGGGTTTCTGTGGGTCACTTGCAGTTGACTGTAGGGAACAAATTGATAGATTTGATGCTCTGTAGAGAGAATAGTACCAAAAGCCAATCTAATTCTAGCAGAATTCATAAATCTAAACAAGACTTTGGTGATCATTCCTGAACTCAAAACAAACTCCAGATTCATATAGAATCCAGTCACTCCTACAAGGACCTTGGGGTTGGGAGTTATTGGAGAACCATTTGTAAAACTCAGAATAAACTCTGAATGTACTTCTTGAAGCGTTAGGCTCAAGCTAACCTTAGTGGAGCCAGAGTGGAAATTGGGTAGTTGGTTATTTGCTAGGGAAAATTAATGGCCAGTATACATGTGGTTCTTGGTTTGTGAGTGCCGTTTGCAATACTGTGATACTAATTCAAGTCTCTATGATGAATCTTTGCTCCTTCATGTTAAAATATCTACTGTTGTTCTCTGATAGTTTTGATTTTTAATTTACAATGTCAAAGCCCTTGGTAATTAAAAAAAACATTTAGGATATTAACACTTTCATCCATCTTTCTTTTTAAAATTGTGGTTAAAAATATATCTAATATAGCCATTTTAATCATTTCTTTCTCCTTCCTAAGTTTTTTTTTTTTTTTTTGGTATGCGTGGGGCTTGAACTCAGGCATGAACACTTATTAGGCAGATGCTTTTACTTCTGAACCATTCCTCTAATACTATTTAACCATTTTAAGGATACAGTTTAGTAGCTTTAATTTTTTTTTCTTTTTGGGTCTGGTTGTGGGGCCTGAACTCTGGGCCTGGGCGCTGTTCCTCAGCTCTTCAGCTCAAGGCTAGCGCTCTACCACTTGAGCCATAGCGCCACTTCCAGCTTTTTTCTTTTTGCTTATGTGGTGCTGAGGAATCGAACCCAGGGCCTCAGGCATGCAAGGCAAGCTCTCTACCACTGAGCCACCTTCCTAGCCCCTTATTTTTGTATTATTGTGCAGTCACAATAATACATTATTGTATCCTTATTAAATAGTGTATCCCATTATTGTATCCTTATTAAATAGTGACACCCATTATACAATCTCCTCAACACAATAATTACTGTTCTGCTTTCTGCTTATATAAATGTCACAGTCTATATACCTCAGATAAGAGAAATCATATGAGTTTGTCCTTTGTATGTGGTTTATCATTGAGCATGATAAACTTAAGGTTTATCTGTGTTGCACTGGAACTTGGTTGCTTTTTGAAATTGAATAATCCATTGTATATTTAAAACACCTTTTGTTTATATGTTCACCGATTAATGGCCATTTAAATTATAGCTACCTTTCCGCTATTTTGAATAATGCTGGCTGGAATTATTCTAACTCTCAAACTCCCAGTTATATGAGTTATGTATATATCTTTCTTACTTAGAATCTTTAAAAAAAACCTAGAATGAAACAAGGACTCACCATTTTCTTTTGATCTGTGTGTTGTTAGTACATTGTTGCTTAAGTTTGGTGCTAACTCCCTCCAATTTTGATTTAAGGGATCAAGTAAGGCCAGTGGTTCTAAGCAGTTGTGGACTAAAATCCTGTGGTCTTGTAAGGAAACCTTCCGCATGCAGCTTGGGAGACTACTAGTGCACATTGTGTCACCAGCCCACACTGTGCAGGAGAGAAAGCAAATCCTGGAAGTCATTCATGAGCCCATTCACCAGGAAATACTGAGAGACTGTCTTAGCCCTTTCCCCCAAGTAAGTATCTCAGCATCCCATAAAAGAATATAAAGTTGGTTTCATTTCTTCTGAAAGTATACGCAGACCCATACACAAGTCCACACACTCAACCCAGTAAACATTACCTCCTCCACTCTCAGCACAAAGGAGGAGAGCGAGTGCCAGTCACTTCTGCCCTTATTTTCTTCTTTCAAAGTTGGAAGTAGGTAGAGATTTTTGTGTCATTGAACACTGCACAAACGATGTTCTCCATTGCCATCTACTTGGGTCTGGAAGCCCTCAGCTGCTTTTCTACTGCTGTAACTCACTACCTTTGATAGATTCTGCAGTCTGTAGCCTCATCACTGTCTCCTGTGGCTGCTTTACCTTCCATGCATCACTGCACAGTTGTGCTGCTTTGTGCAGGATGCCAACGCAGAGCACAAAGCTTTCCCACTCTCATTACCTACCTATTCTGCTATTTGTCTCCATAGCGCTCCACTCTGTTCCTTCTGAGAACCCTCATTGAAAACTTTACATACTTCGAAGTTTTATTATTTAAGGGTGCAATCAATCATGAGGTTTTTAACTAAGGGCCCATGCTTTTGGCAAGTACTCTATACCACTTGAGCACACTTCTAATGCTTTTTGCTTTAGTTTGCTTTTCAGATAAGGCCTTACACTTTTGTCTGGAGCCAGTCTTGAATTCAAATATCTGGGATTATTGATGTATATCATCATGCCCAGCTTGTGTTTGGAGATGAGCTTGAACCACATCCCTCCTATTTCCACCATGTTTTTTTTTAATAGATTCAATTCCATAAACTAAGTTATGAACTTACAGGCTAATGTGGGTTTCTTTTATTTCATTTTTTTGTTTTCTCACTGTGTAGCACACGTTGGCCTTAAACTTGAAATCCTCCTACCTCAGCCTCCAAAGAAGTAGGATTACAGGTGTGTACCACCATGTCTAAGCTCAAAAATTCAGTTTTTTTTAAAGCTAAAAAAAGAGCGGGGCGCAGTGGCTTATGCCTGTAATCCTAGCTACTGAGGAGGCTGAGCTCTGAGGATTGTGGTTCAAAGCCAATCTGGGCAGGTAAAGTCTGTGAGACTTTTATCTCCAATAAACCTGAAGTGGTGCTGTTTTTCAGGTGGTAGAGTACTCACCTTGAGGTGAAGAGCTGAGGGATAGTGCCCAAGCCCAGAATTCAAGCCCCACAACCAACCAAAAAAAAAAAGAACTTTTTATATTCATCTTTAGTAGCAGCTTTTTTTTTTTTCAGTCAGTCATGGGTCTTGAACTCTAGGCTTGGGTGCTGCCCCTGAGCTTTTCAGTTCAAGGCGAGTGCTCTACCACTTGAGCCACGTGTCACTTTTGGTTTTCTGGTAGTTTATTGGAGATAAGAGTTTCATGGACTTCCTTGCCTGGGCTGGCTTTGAACTGTAATCCTCAGATCCCAGCCTCCTGAGTAGCTAGGCTTACAGGCATGAGCCCAGTTTAACAGCATTTTTTTTTGTCAGTCATGGGGCTTAAACTCGGCTTGGGCACTGTCCCTCTGCTCTTCAACTCAAGGCAAGCACTCTACCACTTGAGCCACAGCGCCACTTCCGTTTTTCTGGTGGTTTATTGGAGATCAATCTCACGGACTTTCATGACCGGGCTGGCTTTGAACTGTGATCCTCAGATCTCAGCTTCCTGAGTAGCTAGGATTACAGGCGTGAGCTACCAGCGCCCGGATAGCAGCATTTTTTAAATAATAATTCAGACAGATATCCATGACCTAAGCCTGTAATCCTAGCTACTCAGGAGCCTAAGATGTGAGGATTGTGACTCGAAGCCAGCCTGAGTAGGACAGTCCGTGAGAATCTAATCTCCAATTAAGCACCAGAAAATCAGAAGTGGCGCTGTGGCTCAAGTGGTAGAGTGTTCACCTTGAGCTGCAGAGCTCAGGGACAGTGCCCAGGCCCAGAGTTCAAGCCCCATGACCAGAAAAAAGAAAAAGAAGATTGCTTTTAAGTCACACATATAAAAATATTCAATCATTTACCATTTCTCTTTATTTGCTAACTTTCCTAGCCTTTTACTGTCTCAACATCTGCTCCTTTTCCTCTTTTGCTCAGGTGGCAGCTGTCTTCTGACTAAATGTCACATTGAAAGAAGCTTTGCTATTTTCACTAGTGCATATGCTCACCCTATACTTTGGAAATGACAGTGTGGTTCAGGATGTTGATCTAAATATCACCCCAAATGTAATCAATTCCAAATCCATTTGTTAACATTTAATACTTAACTGTTCACAGTTTAAAATGCCTGAAGATAAATGCAGTCTTTAAAGGAAGGTGTTTTTAACTTGTCCTAAAATATATTATCTACTATAAAATATAAATATATATTGACTACTACATGGTAGATGTGATGGCACATCACCATCAGGTGTATTACACAATGCATGGAGGAAACTCATTGTGAAAGTAAGAGCCAGCAGTGGTTTAAGCTTGCACTGAGAAGAGCAATTGTCATTACCTTAAGAAAGGTGCTGCTTTGGTAGACATGGAACTGAGCACTGAGATCTCACTGGCATTAGAGTCTTTCCTCTCTTGCTCACCCTAAAATAGAGTGCTGACAAGTTAAAGATGGCTTTCATTCTGGAAATTCCACCAACTTCTCTTTTAGAAGTTGAGCAAAAACTACAGAGAAAGGTATGAATACGCACATTTCATTCACCCTAAATAATAAAGGAAGGTTATCCTCTGGTTCAGCATTCTTAGGAGAACACTAGTAAGTCTTTTCCTTTACCCTAAGCTTATTTTGTGAATTCCTTCAGCAAATCCCCTTAGAGCTTTTTCTCCAAAAGCTAGCTGACTAGCTTGCTTCCTGAAGTGGAAAGAATAGTATTATTATTAATCTATGATTTACATTTGTTAATATCTGGATGCAGCTTTGTTGATATTTTATCGTATTGATATAATTTCTTTTTCTGATTTCTTTTAAAATAAATGATAGAAATCATGACATTAGAAAAAAATACAAATTCTGTTACTAAAAAGTTGTTACTTTTTTTAAAGCATGGAGCCAAGTTAGTTTTGTATTTGTCAGAGTTGATACATAATCACCAAGATGAGTTGGCGGAAGAAGAACTAGACATGGCAGAATGCCTTATGAACACTCTGAAGTTACATGGCCACAAGTGCATTCCATCCAGCGGCTCCTCCAAACCAGAGCTTCTCAAGATGATCATGGAGGTGAGTCTGAGGAACCATACTTGTTCCTTAGATCTTGCTGAATATGACAAAGAATGCTTGACAGATTTTTCCACTATATGGTATATATTCAGGAGACAACTTTGATTTGACAACTTGATTTCCTTGTGTATGACCAGCAGTGTTGTGTGAAGGGATGATTTTCATAACACAAACACATTAAACATACCTTGACTTATAGATTATTCGGTGAAAAAGTAAAATGAAGAACCAAGTAAACTCATCAGGTCAGGCATACTATGTAACTATCATACCCTAATTTCTGTGACCCAAATTGTATAGAAACAAAGAGGAATTGTACACTGTTTAGGTGCTTTATTTATTTTAATATTCTGGTCTCCTGAAGATAATCTTTTTTTCTTTGTTAACTTGGTTTTAAAATTAGTTTACTGGGCTTTGTGCCAATGTGGGTTGAAAAATAATGTTTTATATAATGCATTACTACCCAAATCTTTCAGGAGCAAAAGAAATATGAAATTGAAGAAGGCATGAGTAAAGCTTCCTGGCAGAAAACAGTTAACAATAATCAACAAAGGTAAGGTTTTATGTGTTCCTAACATCAGCCCTTAGGAATTATTAGAGTTATGTTTGGTTTTGGTTTGATGTGGGGATTTTGTGGAGTCCCTCCCCTCCATTTCCCTCCCCTTTTGTACTGAGGATAGAACCTAGGGTCTTATACATGCTAGGCAGGTGCTCTCTCCCTGGGCTGTATCCTCAACCCTCATGCATGCTTTTAGATTTAAAGCATTAATTTCAATAAATATTTAATATTCACTTAATTCACTTAACTTATGGGCAGTGTTGTATGTTTAGTCTCTTCCAGCGTCTTGATTCAAAATCAAAGGATATATCTAAGATAGCAGCAGACATCACCCAAGCAGTGTCTCTCTCCCAGGGAATTGAGAGGAAAAAGGTAATCCAGCACATTAGAGGAATGTACAAAGTAGACCTGAGTGCCAGCAGACATTGGCAGGAACTCATTCAACAACTGACACATGACAGGTGAGTGACAAGAAGACTAGATGTTCTATTTTATATGTGGATGTTGAACACTCACTATTTAGACTCCAGAATTCAGATTCATAAAATTAATTCAGTAAACACTTTTTTGTTAAATCATTGGTGGCTTTTTTTTCTTTCTTTTTTTTGTTTGTTTTGTTTCATTTTGTTTTAGTGTTGAGAATCAACCCCAGGACTTTGAGTATGTGAGATAAATGTTTTGCTACAGAACGTTCCTTATACCTAATTTTGTTTCCATCTTGAAAAACGATCATATAAGATCTGAGGGGGAAAATAAGGAGAAAGGAGAGGTATTAGTTCTTTCAGACAATAAAACTGACTTTAATTATAAAGGATGTTCATGAAAAAGAAATATTTGAAAAGATAATTCAGGAATGGATATTTTTCTTTTTTTGGGGGGGTGGTCCAGTCTTGGGGCCTGAACTCTGGGCCTGGACGCTGTCCCTCAGCTCTTCAGCTCAAGGCTAGCACCCACTTGAGCCACAGTGCCACTTCCAGCTTTTTTCTTTTTGTTTATATGGTGCTGAGGAATCGAACCCAGGGCCTCATGCATGCAAGGCAAGCGCTCTACTACTGAGCCACCTTCCTAGCCTCAGGAATGGATATTTTTCTAGCTAGGACTTTAATGTGACTTAAAAGATGCATTATGAGCCAGATGCTGGTGGCTAATGCCTGTAATCCTAGCTACTCAGGAGGCTGAGATCTGAGGATTGTGGCTCAAAGCCAGCCAAGGCAGGAAAGTCCATGAGGCTCTCTCTTTTTTTTTTTTGTCAGTTGTGGTGCTTGAACTTGGGGCATGGGTGCTATCCCTGAGCTCTTTTTTAATGCAAGGCTCGCACTCTTACCACCTTGAGCAACAGCTCCACTTCTGGTTTTTGAGTAGTTAATTGAAGATAAGAGTTTCATGGGGAATTTTCTGCCCTGGCTGGCTTTGAACTGCCATCCTCAGATCTCAGCCTCCTAAGTAGCTAGGATTATAGGCATGAGTCACCAGCACCAAGTGTGAGACTCTTATCTCCAATAAACTGTTTACTCAGTAAAGGCTGGAAGTGATACTGTGGCTCAAGTGCTAAAGCACTAGTCTTGAGCAAAAGAAGCTAAGGGACAGCACCCAGGCCTAGCAGTCATGAAGCCCTGAGTTTAAACCCTACTACCCCCAAAAATGATACCACAACAACTAAATCTGTTAGAGAGGAGACAATGGGAAATATACAAGATTGATTTGGGAAACAGTTTTTGTCCACTAACCATATCGAATCCAGAGTATTATGTGATGTTACCTGGGTCTTAATGGTGGTAGTGATGTAGCTGACAACATTAGCAGCTGGGAGAGCAGATGCATCACTTGCTCCAGAAGGAGGCTCAGCAGCACTCTTGCTTTTGTTTTTAGAAGATTTTTTTTGTTCTGTGTGTGTAGTATAAATATGTTAGCTGTTACTCCTTAATTATGATTTATCTACTTAGTCTCTGTGGTGATTTTTTTCCAAGAGTCTGACCCATTGGCCTCTCCTTAATAAATGTCCTTTCCTTTTCACCCACAGGGCAGTGTGGTATGACCCCATTTACTATCCAACCTCGTGGCAGCTGGATCCAACAGAAGGCCCAAACCGGGAGAGGAGACGCTTGCAGAGATGCTACTTAGCTATTCCAAATAAGTACCTCCTGAGGGGCAGACAAAAGTCAGAAGGTAAGAGTATGTGTCCCCACCTCTTGTGTGCTACTGTGGAGAGAAACTGTGGGCATCAGATAAACAGTGAACCTTTCATCAGCAGATGTGCTCAAGCCACCACTCTCTTACCTGTTTGAGGACAAAACTCACTCTTCTTTCTCCTCTACTGTCAAAGACAAAGCTGCCAGTGAATCCATAAGGTAGGTGTGAGTCCATGGACCCCCTTCACTCTTGGTGAGTGTTCAGTACTCACTATAGGGCTTGTGTAATGCTTGTGTTAAGTACTGTGGGTTTTAAACACAAGGTTGATTGGCAGAAGCTGCATGAAATTTCTGAAGCAGGGTTATTGGATGTCAGTCATCATGTTCTGGCACTTCCTGTATGCATGTGTTGTTGTTCTTGACTTTTTAAATAGCTCTATAAGGTAGCTAGAGTTGCTGGTGACACTACCATCATCCGTGTAGTGCAGTGATCAAAGGTTCAGGTCCCATTCCTGTTCTTTCTTGTTGGTGGTGGTGGTGGTCCTGGAGCTTGAACTCTGGGCCTGGGTGCTGTCCCTGAGCTCTTCAGTTCAAGGCGAGGGCTCTACCACTTGAACCATAGTGCTACTTCCAGTTTTGTGGTGGTTAATTGGAGATAAGAGTCTCATGGACTTTCGTGCCAGGCTGGCTTGAACCCCATGAACCTCAGACTCCAGCCTCCTGAGTAGCTAGGATTACAGGTGTGAGCCACTAGCACCCAGCCTTATTCCTACTCTTTCCAATTGTCATATCTTGGACATATACCCCCTCTGCCTCAGTCTTATCACTAACCAGTGAGAGAAATAATGTGACTAAACCTGAGACAAAAAAAAAAACATAAGTAACAAGAACAGGAAACTTTTCTGACTCCAAAGTTCTATTTTTCCTGGAATACTAGGAGGTTTTTCATTTACAGAAATACCAGTGGCATAAAACAATTAAAATACAAAGCATTGAAAGTTCTCTTACATAACTAAATACATATATGCTGCATAAAGGTTATATGTAGTCTTAGCCTTTTCTAAAGGCTGCAATCATTTTCTCCTCCACTGGAATGTGTTATGTAGGCTCTGACACACCATCTCATGCTGTTGAAACTATATTCTGCCTGCGTAAGTCTTCTATTAAATAAAATAAGGCTTCTATTGCAAAATTGGAGAGATGTGTAATTTGGAATATGTTTTGGCAGAATAAATCGAAGATGTATTAGTGTTGCACCATCCAGAGAGACAGCTGGTGAATTGCTGTTAGGTAAGTTGAAGGATGTTACATACATATGCCTTACTGTATTCTTAGATCATTTGTAGTGTTTTTGGCATGTTGCCATCAAATTAGATCAACTTTCTTTAAGATGTCAGAGACTTTTTGCCTTCATCTCATATAGCTTGATCTCATAGCTTCTCTTATCCTCTAGAATCCTTAGTAAGATGCATGAAACCGCAGATAGCAGTCCCTATGTGTGCCAGGCTTTTTTCTGTACCATACATACCATGATAAAGTGTAAAGTAGCCTTGATAAGAGATCAACAATAATTAATAGATGTAGTGAGGAGAGCCTTATGTTATCTATGGTCTCTTCGGTAGTTCACTGCACCTTGCTTAAAGGGAAGCACTTGATAGCTTCCCTGTACATGTGTGTGCTCCAACACTTGTTAATAAAGTAAGGGGACTTGATACTGCAGCAATGCTGTTGATCTGACAGTGGAGACAGCTGAGGGATGAATGCACTGGTAGCAGATAGAATGTGCAGAACTGGACACTGAGCAAGGAGGGGTGAAGCAGAACAGGGCAGATGTCATCACGCTGCTCAGAATGGTGTGTAACTTGAAGCTTGTAAGTTGTTTGTTTCTGGAATTAACTACATCCACTATTTTCAGACTGTGGTTGACCACAAATAATTGAAACTTCAGAAAACAAAAGCACAGGCAAGGAGGGACTGCTGTGATGTTTATGACTTATGAATGTGAAGAGATGAGCGCTTGTTTTCTAAAATGTACATGGTGAAAAATTTAATTTCTTCTGGGCATGGTGGCTCATACCTGTAATCTCAGCAGCTCAGGATGTGGAGATCAGGATGATGGTAGTTCAGGGCCAGCCCAGGCAAAAAAATCATGGCACCCCATCTCACCCAATAAAGTTGGGCATGGTGGTGTGTACCCGTCATTCCAACTTTGTAGGAAGTATAAAGAAAAGAATCATAGTGTAGGCATAAACACAAGACCTTATTCAAAAAAATAACTAAAGCAAAAAGGACTACGGATGTTGATCAAGTGGCAGAACCCCTGCCTAAGAAGAGAGAAGCCCTGAGTTCAACTCCAGTACTGTTAAAACAAGAAGTTGGCTTTCTCCTTGCATAATACGTTTTTATCTTTAATCGTTTTTAAATTATATATTAGAAATGTGTGTAGACACGTTTAGACTTTTAGACTCTACTGAATCACCCAGGCCTTCATAGTCAACCCAGCACTACAGGGTGGACAGCGTATAGTGGCAGAGTCCCAGGAGGTCCTAGTATTGTGACACTTGTACAGGGACTTGCAACAGCTAGCCCAGATGCAGGAAAGCACTGAGACTCTTGTTCTCTGCTATGTGGCTCAGTCAGAAAATTATTAATGATTATTATCTTTTTTTACTAGAAAATTCAGTGGACCATTTGACTTTAGTGTGTGACTGAATAAAGCAAATTGGTATATGTATATGATAGGAAGGATAATGGTACTAACAAAAAACCAGCATCTATTTAGCATTAAATGCAAGGCAGGACTGATAAGCATTTTGTACATATTTTTGGTTAGTTTCACAGTAGCTGAAGTATAGCTTCCTACTCTCCCAACCCTGCTTGTTTATTTTTATTTATTTATTTTGCTGCTACTGGGGTTTATACTCAGTGCTTAGCCATTGTTCCTGAGCTTTTTTTTTTCTTTTCTCAAGGCTAGTACTCTTAATATTTGAGCCATAGCTCCACTTCAGGCTTTTTCATGCTGGTTAATTGGAAATAAGAGTCCCACAAACTTTCCTGACTGGACTGGCTTTGAACCATGATCCTCAGATCTCAGCCTCCCTGAGTAGCTAGGATGACAGGCCTGAGCCACCAGAGCCTGGCCCCACTTATTTTTAATAAGGAAAGTAAGACATATAGAGGTTAAGCAACTTGTCTGAGATCTTACAAGTCTTGTTTAAACACTTGAGTGCTTGGAACTCTTTTTAAGTGCTGAGATTCAGATGCAAGCAAATGGACCCCAGAGGTCCACAGCTGAAAACACTTCACTTAACGTTTTAAACTCTGTCCAATTACTCTCTGCAGGTAAATGTGGAATGTATTTTGTAGAAGATAATGCTTCTGATCCAGTTGAAAATTCGGTGAGTAGAGGCTTTCTTACATTAAACCTAGACAGATTTTACAACCATAAAGCCTGAGAGAGTAGGTAGAACTCTTAGGGCTCTGTATGTCACTTACCATGTAGACTGGGCTCAATTTCAAACATCTTTTTAAAAAGAAGCCTGTGAGGGGGCTGGGAAGGTGGCTCAGTGGTAGAGCGCTTGCCCTGCATGCCTGAGGCCCTGGGTTCGATTCCTCAGCACCACATAAGCAAAAAGAAAAAAGCCGGAAGTGGCGCTGTGGCTCAAGTGGTAGAGTGCTAGCCTTGAGCTGAAGAGCTGAAGGACAGCGGCCAGGCCCAGAGTTCTGGCCCCACCAAAAAAAACAAAAAACAAAAAGAAGCCTGTGAGCTGAGCACTGGTGGCTCACGCCTATGATCTTGGCTACTGAGGAGGTTGAGATCTATGGATCACACTTCAAAGCCAGCCCAGGCAGTAAAGTCTGTGTGACTCTTATCTCCAGTACACTACTCAGAAAAAGCCAGATGTGGCACTGTGTCTCAAATGCTAGAGCACTAGCCTTGAACAGAAAGAAGCTCAGGGACAGCATTCAGGCCCAGCATTTAAGATTCAGGCTGGCACACCCAAAGAAGCCTGCACCATCATCTCTTCTAACTTTGGCACCTGCATCTCAGCTGTTACCATCAGTCAGATTCTAATGCGCTGCTGTTACTTCAGTTTTTGCCCATTCTTTCTCATACTATCCTGAGTAGCATAGTCTAGCTGCTTCCTGAAACTCTCAGTTCATCTCACATGACATTTACTGTCATGCATTTTAAACTTTTGTTCAAGTCTCAAGTCCCTTTTTAGTCTTAACATTGATTATTTCGTGCAGAGCGTTGCTTAGAGTTGCTTGCTGGATATATGTTGAACTGAGTAGATGAAACTGAAGTTAAATAAAGAAGGAGTTTGGTTTAGTTTGAGAGTATTACATTTCCATTAAAAGAGTTTAACACTGGGATTGTAGCACAGTGGTACTGCACTTGCCTAGCTCGCATGAGGTCATGGGCTCAGTCCTCAGTATTAGAACACACACACAAAAAGAGCAAAACAAAAAATTTACATTTTATTTATAGTGTATTCCCTAACTCCACTCAAAAACTATTCCATACCCAGTACAGGAGTAAAGAATAAATAGAGAAATTCCAATGATTTAAGATTTAGAAGAATAAAGAGCTTAAAATAAAACAGTAATTGCAATTTGAGTTCTGAATTCTGCTCTGAATTTTCTATTAGCCAGTTCAGAGGAAAAAAGAAAAGAAAAGGAAGCTCAGGCGAGCTAGGACATAGTTGGAGGAAGAAAGTTCTAACTAACCTTAAACTTTAGTGGCGACTTTATCATGATTTCTCTGTTTAAAGTATTGAATAACACAATTCATAGTTAGCATTGGTTTATAAAAGATTAGACTTATTTTTCAATGTTTTCCTCATTTTATTTTATTTTATTTTATTTTTTGTCAGTCATGGGGCTTGAACTCTGGGTTTGGGCACTGTCCCTGCACTCTTCAGCTCAAGGCGAATGCTCTACCACTTACACCAGTTTTCTAGTGGTTTTTATTGGAGATAAGAGTCTCATGGACTTTCCTGCCCGGGCTGGCTTTGAACTACGATCCTCAGAACTCAGCCTCCTGAGTAGCTGGGATTACAGGCGTGAGCCACCGATGCCCGGCTCTCATTTTATTTTTGAAGGGAACAAGAGGGATCTGTGGATCCAACTCTTCATCCCCAAATGTGGGGTGTGACTGAGCAAGCTAGGGTTCTCTGCAGATCAGGCTGCCTTCCCAAAGACACAGCCTTCTAGTGCCTCCTTGGTCAATGTCCTTCCCTTGAGGCCACATGAGAGAATCTGTGGCTCTCTAGCTTGAACTGACTGGCAAGTGTTCTTTCTGTGTTTGTGTAACAGTGTTCCTCCAGAAACTGGAATTGGCCTCTGTGGGTGACTCTGGTGTGAGAGCCACTTCACAGCTGGGAGGCTTTGAGGCCATGCAGAGAGGGAGGACATGGATTCTATGTTCTCTCTCAAGAGATCTCTTTCTATTGTCCACCTGGACCCAAGACAGAGACCCAGTTCCTGGTCCTTTTCCTTTAGTAATGGGCACATTTGTTTTCAAATCATTTACTCAGAGCACGGCTCTGCATAGATTCTAGGCTTCTGAAGGAATCTCAATTCAACGCCATTACTCCAAGGAAGACAGAGCTCATCTTCTGTCCCCAAGTGGATATTAATTTAAGTCACTTCACTTCTGAAGCAGTATTTGTGCATACATGCACAAACATGCAAACATGCACACACATATGAACACATGCACAACCAGGCAGCCAAAGGGTCACTTCCTCCCAACTACTATTTTGTGCATTTCTTTTTTATTTTTGACCACAAAGGTTTCATTTCCTTGTTTCTTGGAAGCTCAGCTATGCATTTAGAAGATTTGCTTAGCAAAAGAAGCTAACTAGAAATCTAACATACAGCATGCTTCCAACCATATGGCATTCTCAGAAAAACAAAACTATGGATACATGAAAACAATGAGCAAGGAAAGAGGGAGGGAAGGAAGGGAGGAAGGAACGAAGGAACAAAGGAAGGAAGGAAGGAAGTACTGAAAGCTTTTAGGTTGGCAGAACTGGTCTATACCATAGTGAAATGGGCTGAACATCCAAACTCATAGGATGAATGACATTATAGGCTGGAGGTAAAAATCACATACAGATATTACTTCATCAGTTGTAATCAATACTCATACCAACTGTAAGACATTACTAATAGGAGAACTGAGTGTAGAGGTAGCACAGGAGGACAAAAGGAGCTCTATACTTCCTGCTAGGTTTCCTGCAGACTTGTAACTGCTCTAAAACATAAAGTGCTACTTCTTTTTGATTAATTAATTACTCTAGCATATGTACTGTTTTTATAGTGGAAAGGCTTTCAGATAATCGTACCTACCATTTTCCCACAAATGTTCCACAGGTTTTCTATTTTGTTTTGATAGTTTTTTTTACTCTAAAATCAATATAACTGTTTCATGCAATACAAATACTTTTATCTGTTTCCTTTGTCTTAGAGCCTTCATGGAGACTTAGAACCAGCATCATTTTCCTGGACATATGAAGAAATTAAAGAAGTTCACAAGCGATGGTGGCAATTGAGAGATAATGCTGTAGAAATCTTTCTAACAAATGGCAGAACACTCTTGTTGGCATTTGATACCACCAAGGTAAATTCAACCTTAAGTAATAAGATGCCTGCCATCTAGGCAAGCATGTGACCAAGGCTCATACTAATTATGTAAATTTTAATTTAAACTGAAATCATGTAGTGAAATGTTTTATCTCTTGGCCTTTACTAAAGTAAATCCTTGAACCTATTAGCATTTTTTGACCTGTAAAATTGTATTCAGTTCGGGTTCCTCCAGAAGACTAAAAGAAGTACAAGAAGGGCCATCTTTTTCCTTCCTTCCTTCCTTCCTTCCTTCCTTCCTTCCTTCCTTCCTTCCTTCCTTCCTTCCTTCCTTCCTTCCTTCCATCTTTTATTTCTTTGTTCCTTTCATTCTGGTGATTGGATTCAGGGGCACATGCTTGGTAGACAGTTGCTCTGCCACTGCACCATACCCCTAGCTCTTTTGCTTTTAGTCCATTTTTCAGACAGAGGTCATATACTAGCCAGGCTGGCCTTGAACCATAATCATCCTGCCTCTGCTTCCTGAGTAGCTGAGACCAAAAGCATGCACTACTATGCCGTGTGTGTGTGTGTGTGTGTGTGTGTGTGTGTGTGTGTGTGTGTGTTTTGTTAGTTAATTGGAGATAAGAATCTCACAAACTTTTCTGCCCAGGCTGGCTGAACCACAATCCTCAGATCTCACCCTCCTGAGTATCTAAGATTCAGGCATGAATCAGAAGCACCCAGCTGCTAACTTTTGCTAAGACTGGCCACAGACTTTGTTCCTTCTATCTCCAAATCCTCAGTAGCTGAAATTATAAGCATGAGCTCCTGCTCATGACAATCCAACCCGTAATGCACGTTCCTTCATCTGCCATTTGTCTCAATCCCTTTGTGAAAACCCTTTAGGGGAAAGTTGTATGTACTTTCTGACTCCACTTCCTCCCTGAAGCTGTCTTCTGAACTGCTCCTGTCGCTGTATTTCCTCTCCTGGTCCTGTTTCCTGTTTCCTTGCTTGGCCTACCAGAAGCTTTCTAGACAGCTGGCTAGTCTTCCTCCTGGAAGAAGACTTCCCTGAGCTTCTGGGTTTCTACTTTTTCTCTCTTCACCTTCTCTTTCATGGGCATTTTATTCATCTTATTACATTCACCATGGGTATCTTTCTCAGACCTCTTCTTATCCCTTCTCATGGCTTGAAAATGCCATCTTAACAGCATACAGCTTTGGATCAGTGCCCAAGCCTCTCCCCCAAATGCCACATTTACAAATGTAAATAAATACATTTCTGTATAGAGATAAGTATTTTCTGGACATTCTAGGAACTAATGTTAGGTCTTCACTCTTGTAAGCCAGGAGCCCGTTTTTGCATTTGGTTATTTTTGAGGAAGCATCTTACTGTATTCTTCTGAGATCTTCTTATTTGTGTTTCTTCATATTCCTGGGGAAAATAGGCATACACCAGTATGCCTAGCCATTGATTGAGATGGAATTTCAGAATCTTGCATATGCCTGGATTGCTGTTGAACAATAATCCCCTGATCTCTACCTCCCATACCTGGCTCTGCTCTTACATATTGGGAGTCATAAAATGACTTGTACTGGCATCTTTTTGGAAGTCACCAACTAGAATCTCAAACTTAGTATACACCAAACTTAAATGAACTGAATCTTCCTCTAAAATTTCCTTTAATTTTTTCCTATCTCTGTAGGCAGAAATTTCATCTTTCTAATGTCCATGCCATAAACCCTGAGGGTATCTAGACTCACCCAGTTCTCTCACACTCTGTCTACTATACTACACTGTACTTGTCTAGAAAAAAATACACTTTCTTCTTTGATTTTTTTAACATTTTAATTGTATTTTTAAAAATTTGTTATTATAAAGGTGATGTACAGCGGGGTTACAGTTTTCATTGATTTTTTTATCTGTATAGAAGTGACTTTTGTGCATAACTCAGAAGTTATGAACAACAAAGCCTAGCCATTGTGGCTCTCATCTGTAATCCTAGCTATGCAGGAGGTCAGGATCAATTGATCATGATTCAAAGCCAGCCTGGGCAGGAAAGTCCATGAGTCTCATACCTCCAACTAACCAGCAGAAAACTGGAAGTGGAACTGTGGCTCAAAAGTGGTAGGACAGTAAAAAAAAAAAAAAAAAAAGTGGTAGGGCACTAGCCCCAGGCCCTGAGTTCAAGCCCCACAACTGAAAAAAAAAGTTATAAATAACAACTTAGAAGTTACTACCAAGTGATCTTAGAATATTTTCCCAGCAGCAAGGTATAATAACTGAGAGCCTATGTCTGGAGGAAGACGTTCTGCACCTGTACCCTGTTTAGCTCACATCATTACTCCTCCTACTTAGGAGGCTAAAGTCTGAGGATCATAGTTCAAAGCCAGCCTGATAGGTTCTTGCCTCCAATTAACCACCAAAACCAACAAACAAAAAAAGCCAGAAGTGGAGCTATGGCTCAAGTAGTAGAGCAATAGCCTTGAGCAAAAAAGCTCAGGTACAGTGCTTAAGATCTGAGTTCAAGCCCCAGGACTAACACAAAATTTTTTTTCCTTCAAAATTTGATATCAGTAGTAACCTGATTTACTCTGGAGAAAAGTGTCTGTGAGCTTAAAATATCTGAGTCTTTTCTTCCTCTTCCCTGTTAGGTCCGTGATGATGTTTATCACAATATACTCACAAATAACCTCCCAAATCTTCTGGAATATGGTAACATCACTGCTTTAACAAATCTGTGGTATGCTGGACAAATTACCAATTTTGAATATTTGACTCACCTAAACAAACATGCTGGTCGATCCTTCAATGATCTCATGCAGTATCCGGTGTTCCCATTTATACTCTCTGACTATGTTAATGAGACCCTTGATCTCAATGACCCATCAATCTACAGGTGAGTAAGAGCATTACCATCTTTCAGAGTCACCATATGCTGTATTGATGTCATTGAGGTTTTCCACAAAATATCATAAAATTCTTCATAGCATGCATAAAAATAAAGTGACTGTTTAATCATTTACCTAATCAGCTCAACTCAGTAATTAAGAATAACAAAACTCTTACCAAACTGATGTCATCTCTCTTTCTGATTTTAGACATTCTCTTAGATAGCTGCAGTGCTATTATTATATGTAAGAAAATTAATAACAGTTCCATCAACTAGCCAGTCCATTTTCACATGTCTCCTGGTTATCCTAAAGATGCTCTTTTTGTGATTAGTTGGCAACAGGCCCACTGTTGTTTTTTATTTTATATGTGTGTATATGTATATACGTGTGTATATGTATATATCCTTTTAATTGTTTGCATATAAGTTTTTTTCTTTATTTTCTTCTGACATTGACTTGTTCAAAACAAAAAAAGTTATTTATTTTGTGCACTTCACATTCTGTGGTTGCTGATTTCTTTCTGTGGCATCCATGATTTAGTTTGCTTCTCTAGCATCTATTTTCTAGAGACTGAGAATTCATTCTTGAGGCTTGCTCAAGTTCACCCCTGTATTTTGGCAAGCAGCCACTGAAGATAGTGATGTCTAGGTTGATACTAGAAGCCTGTGATTTTCCTTTCTGGTAGTGCTTGTGATGAGCTGTAGGTTCAGGGTCCCAGTGACTCATGTCTCATGTCTTATCAGTTGTTGATTATTGCTTAAAAATACCATTTCACAGTATGTTCACAAATAAAATAAAATAAAATTAAAAAAATACCATTTCAATAGGGCCAACAAATAGTGATTTCTTATTTTCTCATATATCCTAAATTTACTGGAAGAAAGTATACAATCTGAGCCTAGGATATATCTTTTGTCAGAGAGCAAAGGAATTGCTGGGCACTGGTGGCTTATGCCTGTAATCCTAGCTACTCAGGAGGCTGAGATCCTCAGATCTCAGCCAGCCCTGTCAGGAAAGTCTGTGAGACTTTTATCTACAGGAAACTTGACATAGCACTGTGGCTCAAAGTGGTAGAGCTCTAGCTTTGAGCAGAAGAACTCAGTGATAGTGCCTGGGCCCTGACTAATACAAGAAAGAGAAAGAGGGAGGGAGGAAGAGGGAAGAACGGAGGGTGTGTGTTGGGGGGGGGGGGAGAAATGAACATTTTCTCAAAAAGACACAGAAGCCAGGCTTGGTGACACATAATCTCAGTTACTTTTGAGACAAAGGTAGGAGTATCTCACTCCTAGATCCCAGCCTGAGTTAAAAGGGAAAAAAGGATGAAAAATGACACAAAAGACATTTAAATGCTTCTCACTGCCTAATACAGAGCAATCAGAATAGAAGAGAAAAATGACTGCAAGCAGTTGAAGTGCATTGAAGTGCAAAGGTGCACTAGCTCATAATTGCATAGGTTAAGGGGACCCTTATCTGAATACTGGGGACCAGAGTGGCTTAGATTTGGGAGTTCAGATTTTGCAGTATTCTGAGGCTTTACCAGTTGAGCATCCTTAATCTAAAACCGAGATCTGAAATACTCCACAATTTTAAATTTTGAAGCTTTGAATGTTCTTCGTAAGAAGTTACAAATTTTGGAGTTTTTTGGATTTCAGATTTTCTGATTAGGAATGCTGAAACCCATATGGCATTTTGAAAGACCAAATACACACACACACACACACACACACACACGCACGCACGCACGCACGCACGCACGCACGCACGCACGCACGCACGGCAAAACAAACCTCCTATTTCTCGTGGGAAGTAAACAGAGCACCAATTACTTATTTTGAAATTTGAGAATTCAAGGAAAAATCAATATTCTATCTTTTCTAAATGAACTGTATTTTGCTCATTTAGTTGAAAAAAATTCTCAGTTAAAAAATTAACTCCAAATATTCCAGTTGTTATATATGTTAGTGTTTTAATAATTTTAACGGTCAAAAATGGCCTAGCAAAGAAATCATATCCTATTTAATGCACTTTTTGATTTAAAAAAGAGCAAGTGGCATGTTGTTTCTCCTTTAGACATTTTATACACTGTTAGACATTTAAACACTTTACACATTGCTGATATAAATAGATATGGTCTTTTTGGAAGGCAATCTGACAGTGTATTCAAAGAACTCTCAAAATGTGCATACTCTGCTTTAGCAGTTTAGCTTCTAGGAACTTTTTTTTTTCCTGTGGGAAATGTGAAGTTCATGTGCTCTACCAGAAAGGCTCCATCTCACAGTAAGTTTCATGGTGGCAGGAACCTGTCTTGTCTAGTCATTGCTTGTCTTAGTGACTGGTGCACAAAGATTATTGTAGAAGTATGTTATATGCATAGAAACATACTCAAGCAAAGGATCTACTTACATTCTACTAAAATGTTTTACCTATGGATTCTACTGCTGTGACTGCTTTGGGGTTTATTCTGCTTGTTCTCCTGTAATTTTTTTTATTTTTCAGACAGAGCATTAATACAATTGTATCCAAAAGATTTATCTACAGCATTTATGAAAAATTACATGCAAAGATCTTACCATGATTTCTTCCTATCTATTGACAAAAATTTTAGAATTCAGAAAGTCCCAACAACAAAAATTGTGCTCAATGTCACTATGTTGATGTCTCTAGAAAATAATAAGTTAACAAAAACAATAAGTGTAATTCTGGACATGCAGAACTGTTTGACTAACTAAACCTTGGGCAAATCTTGCTGTTGTTCTAATTATAATGCTATCTGCTGAAACTCCAGGTGTGCCAGGCAGCTGATCCCTCAGCCCCAGATGCTCCCCACTCCCCACACATACTCCATCAGAGGCTTTTCTCCTCTCAAACAGTGCACAGGAATGCCACATGACCTGATGTGTGGTGTTTACACTTACACTGGGCACATCTTTGTCACTCAGCACCTACTTAGATAGCAGACTATATACTCACTCCAAAATCACAATTTGCTATGTTTAGCATGTGTTGGTTCTGCAGTTTTTATTGATAGACTGGGAACTTCCCAACCTCTCAGCATGATCATAATTTCTGTCCAAACCAGGCTTCCCATCATTGAGTCTGGGAAATGGGAGATAACAGCTCAGGGACTGGATCAGTGTCAGTTGATTGGAGGAGAATGCCCAGGTAGAGGGAGCAGTCCTTTGTAGGTTATGTCTGAGTCAGGAGTTCCTAATGCTAGCATAGCTCTGTGGAAAATTCCACCATAGTAGTTTATGACGTATAGGTTTTCTGATTTTGTTTTTTTCCTGGTCTTGGGCTTGAACTCTGGGCTGGGGCGCTGTCTCTAAGCTCCCTTTTGCTCAAGGCTAGTGCTCTACCACTTGAGCCACAGTGCCACTTCTAGCTTTCTGTGTGATTAATTAAAAGTAAGAGTCTTGTGGACATTCCTGTCCAGGCTGGCTTCAAACCTCCTGAACAATGAGCTATAATTATTTATTTATTTATTTATTTATTTTTATTTTGTCGGTCATGAGGCTTTAACTCTGAGCCTAGGCTCTGGCTAGCTCAAGGCTAGTGCTTTACCACTTAAGCCATAGCTCCACTTCCAGTTTTCTGGTGGTTTATTGGAGATAAGAGTCTCACAGACTTCCTGCTGGGCTGTCTTTGAACCGTGATCCTCAGATCTCAGCCTCCTGAGTAGCTAAGATTACAGGTGTGAGCCACTGATGCCCAGCGAAATTTAATTTTTAATTGTGACTTTGCAACATGTATAAGCAGTACACTGAGGACTGAGCCTCTTGTTGATCATTTTATCTCTCTTTTTTTTTAAAGATGTAGACATAGGCAACTTAATTCAGACAGTGTCAAATTGTTTCATGTTCTTTCTACCATCCCTTCCTTTGCAGAAATCTCTCTAAGCCGATAGCTGTGCAGTATAAAGAAAAAGAAGATCGTTATGTGGACACATACAAGGTAGCTTTAGCTTTTACTGGCTCTTGGATAAATGAAAGATGGAGATAAGTTTAACAGACTTAAGCTTCACCTAATTTTAAATTGATAGTGTTGATTTTCCCGTTTTTCACTTCTACTTGCACAACTAGAATTTAAAATTAAGAATACTTTGTCTTAATTTTCTGAAAACACCTTCAAAAATTAAGAAAAAGAAAATGTTTTAGCATAAATTAAAAGGTTACAGTCCATTGTTTCTTCAAGCATAATATATTTCTTTGAAAATCACAAATATTTTCAGAGACATGCTATTCATATCTAAAAGAACTTTTTATATAATATTAATAGACCTGCTAATTAATTTAGTAAATATAAAAATAAAATCAATTCATATACCGTTATGCTATTATATATTAAATATTGACATATTTATTTGTATCATACCCTTGCTAGTTACATCCAAAAAATTACACTTTTTTAAAGAAATTTATCAGATCTGAAACTTACTAAATAGAAATGAGACTATATGTTTAAGTAGAAGCAAATCTACTTGTTTATTTATAAATATCATATAATCTTATTGAAGGTTCTGGGAAATTGAAAAAAGTTGCTTGCCACATCTTACACTCTTCACAGAGTATCAAGAAGGAAGCAGAAGAAGCAATTTCCTCATATTCACCACATTATTTATGTCACTTTCACTGATTGGTCTACATTTGGAACTGGGACAGTTTGGAGAGTCAGGAAGTACCTCTTACTAATGCATTTTCCCTGGGCCAGCAGTGTGGCTATGGTAGAGCCAGCAAGGCTAGCAAGCCAGGCAAGCAAAGGGTCCTGGGTTCAGTCTCCAGCATTCACTCCACCTGTTACCAGAGCCAGCAAGCCACGGGTATGAGTAGTGTGCAGATACTTAACTCAGCTTTATGATGGGAGGAGTAGGAAAAAAGATGATTATATTCTTTTTTATTGTGCAACAGCCCTGTAAAACAGCCTTCAGGTGTTCTATTAGTACTCCTAGCATGTGATATCTGTGCCTTCCTCCTCTAGAGATGCATTTCTCTGAAAAAGTCTACTGTATCATGAAGCTCCAGTAGCAGGAGCAGCTCTTGTTTTTTTTTGATGGGGGGGTTGTTTGGGGGTTTTTGGTTGTTGTTAGTATTTTTTAGGGTTGTTTTTTTTTGGTCGGTTGTAGGGCTTGAACTCAGGGCCTGAGCATTGTCCCTGAGCTTTTTTGCTCAAGGCTAATACTCTGCCACTTCGTTTTTCTAGTGGTTTCTTGGAGATAAGAGTTTCATGGACTTTCCTGCTTGGGCTGGCTTCGAACTGTGATCCTCAGATCTCAGACATGAGCCACCACCACCCAGCTCAGCTCTCATTTTTGAGTGCTTGATCAGCATACGCACTAGTAACCCTACTTGTGAGTGGAGTGCGGGAGTGAGGACACAGAGTGGGGGCTGGTTACCTATGGGAGGTGAGTGAGGAGGTACAGAACGCAGGTGGCTCTCACGTGGCCAGGCCTTAGCAGGCTCCAGGAAGATTGGACACTCAGGATGGCCAGGGTCTGTGTACTGTAGAGAAGGAGAACAAGCTAAAGAGAATAGTGACAGAGGAGTATGGACAAGAAAACCAGCAAAGCGTTCCCAGCTCTGCCTAGTACACCCCCTCATGAACTGCCGGCTCTGTGTCCTCAGTACTTGGAGGAAGAGTACCGCAAAGGAGTGCGGGAAGACGATCCCATGCCACCTGTGCAGCCCTATCACTACGGCTCCCACTACTCCAACAGTGGCACCGTGCTCCACTTCCTGGTCAGGATGCCTCCCTTCACCAAGATGTTTCTAGCCTATCAAGGTATGTGACAAGCTTTTCAGAACTGCCCCAAGTCACCAGAAGCCTGGGTCGGCTTCTGGAAAGCTACCTGAAAGTAACCAAATTCTAGGAAAAAGAATTCTCCCATCAGTAAAATTCTCCTCAAAATAACTGGAGATGGTAGCTTCAAATTAAACATGTCTAAGTTTATAAAAATGCAATTTTTATTTAAAAAGTTAAAATATAATTCACAAACCACAAATTTCACCCTTCAAAATATATTCAACTCAGTTTTAAAGTCTTTTTAGCCTAACATAATTATTTTAGATCTAATACGTGATTTTGGAGCCTGAGTACTTGGTTTGTATAGCAGTTATCTGCTGGAGGTTGCTGTGGCAGAGGGAACACAGTTGTTTCTTACAGCATAGATAGCTGGAGAGCCATGCCAGCACCCGCTCTGTCACCTGCCTGCTTGGAGATCTTCCACCTGGGTGTTTGGAGTGGCAGCCCAGGCTGAAGGTGACTTAGGAGGGAACTGCAGACTGTCATGCTAAGAGGACACACTCTGTCACCCTCTAATGAGAACTGAGCTAGTAGCTCTGCACTTGTACCTCATGACCCTTAGAGTTCTTCAGGGAATCTACCCATTCAGTTTGTCTTGGACTTTCTGACATTTTTCACTCTTCAACAACCTGTTGGAGGAAGAAATTTGTATTCTCCCTGCTTTTTCTATGTAATGGGCTGCCCCTGTATAAACACAAAGCAGATGTCCCTCATGATGGCTGTATAGATGTTTTCTCCCTCATTCTTGGTAGTTCAACATCAGCTTGGGAGTCTCCTATAAGCACGGTCTCCTGTCATAGCTATCTCATAGCTATGGATGGGCCACTGCAGTGTGTAACAGAACTGCCACCTCCTCCACCTAGAACTGTTGTTTTGTTGTTGCTATTTTTGTGGTGCTGAGCATCAAATCAGGGTCTTTTGCAGATTAAGTAAGGGCTATACATTTCCACCCAGAAGACTGTTTTTATTAATGTATAAATTTTCCACTCATCTAAAATCTCAATCTTCACTCATGACTATTATAAATATATTTGTATATAGTATTAGATTTTCTTCATGGTATATTTTTGCTTAAGGTTGTGTTTTGGTTATGTTGTGTATTGTGTTGTGGTGTGTGTGTGTGTGTGTGTGTGTGTGTGTGTGTGTGTGTGTGTTGTCTGTCACAGGTCTCAAACTCGACTTGGGCACTGTTCTGAGCCCTTTTGTTCCAGATTAGTGCTCTACCACTTTGAGTCACAGCACTACTTCCAGAACCACCAGAAGGTGGTTCATTGGAGATAAGAATCTCATGGACTTTCCTGCCCAGGCTGGCGTTGAATCATAATCCTCAGATCTCAGCCTCCTGAGTAGCTAGGAGTATAAGCATGAGCCACCAGTGCCCAACTTGCACAAGTTTTTAAAACCCTGATACCACCCTAACTCTTACTCATTTTCATACATTAGCTTGAAATGATTTCTATTGGCTTTTGAATTAATTTTTATTGATACTGAGAATTCAGGGTCTCATGCTGGATAAGCATGATTTTTTTATTTTTTATTTATTTATTCTTTTGCCAATCCTGAGAGCTGAACTCAGGGCCTGCGTGCTGTTTTTGAGCTTTTTTGCTCAAGGCTAGCACTGCCACTTGGAGCCACAGCTCCACTTCTTGAGCTTAATTAGAAGTAAGGGTCTCACAGACTCTCCTATATGTTTCTTATTTTCAAGATAGGATCTTACTTTGTGTCCAGGCTGGCTGGACTCTGATCCTTCTATTGGGGCTGCCCTTTGTCACCATGATGACAGATTTTTTTTTTTGGCGGGGGATCCAATCATGGGGCCTGAACTCTGGGCCTGGGTGCCCAGGGCTCAAGAGCCACAGAGCCACTTCCGGCTTTTTTCTTTTTGCTTCTGTGATGCTGAGGAATCTAACCCAGGGCCTCATGCATGCAAGGCAAGCACTCTACCACTGAGCCACCTTCCCAGCCCCGATGACAGATTATTGTGTCCAACCATTGTGCTTTCCCCAAAGCTTGGATAGACATAAGTTTGCACCAGCCACCCAGCCATTGATTGAGATTGATTTCACAAACTTTTATGTCTGGCCTGACCTTTAATCACAAATCTTGATCTCTGCCTCCCAAGTAGGTAGGGTTGTAGGCATGAGCCACCATGCTGGCTTGAGTTTATATCTTGATTTATGGTATAATTCAGGGGTTTCCACAATTGCCACTGTAGTTGCTTTGAGCTACATACTTTCTTTGTTGAGGGGGCTGCACTGTGCATAACATTTTTAGTTGCATCCCTGGCCTCTGATGCCAGTGGCACATCCTCACTTCACTCCAAGTTGGCATAGGCCAGAGCATCTTAAAATTTGATCAGAATCCATGTGTGCTTCTCTTGTTCCACAGTTCGCTAGTCCACTGTAGATGCTGTGACCCCACCATTGCCTGACACAATGTCCCCGCTCACCTTCTGGGAGAAAGTAAACCTTTGTAAATCTTAATTTTTCCCAGAGTTTGTTTAGTGGGCAGGCAGTGCTATCTAACATAGCAAACTACATGACAAAGTGATGAAACTAGTATAGAAAGCTACTTGATAGAGCCCTGAGGTGTGGATAAAAAATTAGACAGCATCCTTTTGGAACTCTTCCTTTGCTAATGCTGCTAGTTTGTTATGCTCTATATGAAAGGCAGGTTCATGGCTGAGTGATGCCAGAGATGTTGTAGACGATTGGTATAGTCCTAAGAAGCTCATTCACTGCTGGACTTTTCTTCTTGCTGGCCTGCCTGTAGCAGTATATCACATCATTGCTGGCCAAAACAAGGCAGGGAAAGTGGAAGCCCATATATTTCTAATGTATGCAAATTCAAAAATTAAAACAACTGGGAGAGAGCAAGAGAAGGGGTGACACTGTCCAGAAAGAAATGTACTCATTACCTGATTTGTGCGTGGGGCCAGTGGCTCATACCTATAATTCTAGTTACTCAGGAGGCTGAAATCTGAAGATCACATTTCATAGCCAGCCCAGGCAAATAAACCCATCAGACTCTTATCTTCAGCTAGCTACCCAAAAGGCCAGAAGTGGAGCTGTGGTTCAGGTGGTAAAGTGCTAACCTTGAGCAAAAAAGGTCAAGGATAGCATTCAGGCCTTGAGTTCAAGCCCCAGGACTGGCCAAAAAAAACCCCAAAACTCATTACTTGACTTATATAGCTATAACCCCTCTGTACATAGCCTTTAAAATAACAAAAAAAAATTTAAACTAAGAAAAGAAAATAACAAGCCAAAGCTAGTTATTGATTATTAGTAGTTAATGAACAAGAGTGTGCTTAGTTTTGATTTTGTTCATAGGAAACTTTTTTTTTGTCAGTCTTGGGTCTTGACTTCAGGGCTTGGGCACTGTCCCTGAGCTTCATTTGCTCATGGCTAGTACCCTACCACTTGAGCCATAGCCATCACTTCCAGCTTTTTCTGTTTATGTGGAACTGAGGAATGGAACCCAGAGCTTCACGTATGCCAGGCACTCTACCACAAAGCCACATTCCCAGCCTCATAGGAAACTTTATTTAGTGCTTTAGCTCAGAGTTAGAGCATCTAAAAAACCAAACTGCCTACCTTAAAACCAAGAAAATGGAGAACAAATTGTCTTAGCAATTAGAAGTGAAGGAATAATTTTGCTTCCTGGAAAGGAAGAGATTATTGTTTAATTTATTAGCATACATTATGAATTGTACAAAGTTTTATTGTGATCTTTACATCCATATGGTATAGTGTACTATGACAAACTTTACCCTGTCTATATTACTTTTTCTCAATCCCATTTGTCCTCTCCCCCCTTTTTTAAAATAGGTTTCAGTAGTTTTCATTATGTTACTGTCATGTGTACACATAGTGTACTTTATCATACTTACATCCCATTATCCATTAAAAAAAAGCAAAAGCAGAAACCTGTTTACCTATTATTTTTTCTTCTGGAGGTACCAGGATTTGAACTTAGGATCCTGTGGTTGCTAGTCATGAGCTCTACCACTTGAGCTAAATCTCCAGCCATCTTTTGCTTTATTTTTTAGATAACATCTCCTGTTACTTGCTTGGGGCAGGCCTCAGATCAGGATCCTCCCACATAGCTGGGATTACATGCACTTCCACATTCTTTATGTACTGATTGAGATAGTCTTGCTAACATTTTGCCCAGATTAGCCTAGATTCGCCAGTATTAGAGTAGTTAGGATAACAGGTATGAGCCATTATACCCAGTCAAATTTAAAGTTATTAGGTATTCATTTAATAAAGAAGGTCTTACATACTGGGTATGGATAATACCCCAAAGTTTGGCATAAAACTTTTCTACCTGACCTGGCCTTAAATTGAAGTTCTCCTGCTCAAAGCTTCCCAAGTAGCTAGAGTTAGAGGAGCGAGCCTCCAGCACCTGGCTGACTCGCTCCCTCTGTCCTCCTTTCTGTCCTTCTATCTGCCCGTACTGAGATTTGAACTCAGGACTTGCACCTTGAGACTCAGGCCCACCTCTACTTGAGTCATGTCTCTATTAGTATCTTAAATTATTTTGAGTAGCAAATGCTATGGCAGGCTTGAAATGGAACTAAATCTTTTATCTTAATTGTGTTATTTGTATTTGTAGATCAAAGTTTTGACATTCCAGACAGAACTTTTCATTCTACCAATACGACTTGGCGCCTCTCATCTTTTGAATCCATGACTGATGTGAAAGAACTTATTCCAGAGTTTTTCTATCTTCCTGAGTTCTTAGTTAACCGAGAAGGTAAGCCATCGTATCATTTCTAAATTATAATTTCTAAGAGCTTGGGATGATAGGGTACTTTTCCATTTCTCAGTCCTAATTCCTGAGTACCCAAATAAGAGAAATTCATTCCTCTAAGTATATTATTTTATTTCAAAGCAAGCTTGAGGATTTTTAGTGTTTCATAGGGCAATTCTATTTTTATAGGACAATTAGTTTATTCAACTGTTAAAATTATTTGTAAGCATATACTTCAGTTTTATTATACAAATTATTCTTCTGATTATAGAAGTTATATTCAGTGGCACTGTAGCTCAAATGGTAGAGTGCTCGCCTTGAGCTGAAGAGCTGAGGGACAGCGCCCAAGCCCAGAGTTCAAGCCCCACAAGCAACCAAAAAAAAAAGTTATATTCATAAGAGTCATGAATTTGTTAAAAGCAAAAATGTAGATTACTGAAAAGCTAGGTGAATGTATGAAGAAATCAGAGATAGGAATAAAACATTCTAAGCAGAATGGCATGGTAACCACAGGAGACTGGTGAATACAGTTCACCTTCTATGACACCATTGATCTGTGATGTTGGCCAGCCTTTCTGCACCTTACTAGAAGACCAGCTAACCCTGTAAGGTGCCTTTGTATTGTCTTCTTAACTTCATTCATGTGCGCATTTTGTCTCAGCCTCCTGAATGCTGAGATTGCAGAGGTATACCACTGCATCCACGTTCAAAGTATAAAGATAAGTACTACTAAGGTCTTTTTTACACTAGCAGACTAATAATATAGTTAGATGCAAACTCACTGACATTGTAGAAGAACCTTTTTATTGGATGTGTTGGTATTATTTTATTGGTTTAGGAATATGTCAGCAGAAAGGAAGTTAGAACAGACTGATACACTTGCCATAAACTTGATAGACTATAACAGTTCATTCTAGGAGTGTGTGTACTTGGTAGTAACTTTGTAAAACAAGTTTTTCTCAATATAAAGGTTGTTAAATTTACTGAAATGTAATGTCCGAAATCCGGAAATGGCTGTATAAAGCCTTGGTTTCATTTTGGTCTCATTTACAGTTGAATAGATAGCTAAACTCGGTGTATCTGAAGATCAAAGAGAGGAACCTTGGCGCCATGGGCTGTGGTTTTCTGCCTTTTGATCTGAGGATCATGGTTGTTATACTTTCATGTGTACTTTTTTATGTTGTTGGGTAGATTAACCTTTTATAAGTGGTAGAAGGGTACAACTGAAAGATCTCAGATTTCCATAGGATGCCATCTGTCCATGCAGCCCACCTGTAGGGAAATGAGGAGGGGAGCTGATTAGTCCTGCTGGACAGGCCAGCCCCTTACTGCTGCCTTCCTGGTTGTATTATACAATCCCCTGTTTCCAAGACCCATAAGTCCTGCTCAGTAGACTAGATGAAGTGTGCTCTGGGAGCTAAACATCCACGGTTTCATCTTCTCCCTTAGGATTTGATTTTGGTGTGCGTCAGAATGGTGAGCGGGTTAATCACGTCAACCTTCCTCCGTGGGCACGGAATGATCCTCGTCTCTTTATCCTCATCCACCGGCAGGCTCTCGAGTCTGACCATGTGTCCCAGAATATCTGCCACTGGATTGACTTGGTATTTGGGTACAAGCAAAAGGGGAAGGCTTCTGTTCAAGCCATCAATGTTTTCCATCCTGCTGTAAGTAAATCTTAAAGTAATCTGCACGGGTGTCAGAAGCTTTAAAATTGGCTATTAGGATGTTTCTTCTAAGATGCCAAAGTTAAGTCAGGCACTGGTAGCTCGCACCTATAATCCTAGCTGCTCAGGAGGCTGAGATCTGAGGATCGCAGTTATTAGACTTTCACGTGTATTTTTTATTTTGTTGGATAGATTAGCCTTTTGTAGAAACTTAACTTTTCTGTACCTAAATATGTATATTCATAAAGTAGATGATCATGGGCCCAAAAGAAGTTTCATAAACACACTTGAATTTAGCACCAGGAAGTATGCATTGTTTTTGTTTACATACTCAGAAATATTGTTCACTCTTTATGAGGTTATCCATGATAGTTAATCTGATCAGTTTGTATCTAATCAGTTGTGTTTGAAATAGAGACAACTAGAGCATTACCTGAAGTACAGCAACTTGCTGTTTGGCATTATGGTGGAGTCTTGCTTTATATTTGTAGCTAAACCTCATTCATGTTCTTTTACTCTTTTCATCTACAGACCTATTTTGGAATGGATGTTTCTGCAGTGGAAGATCCAGTTCAGAGACGAGCACTAGAAACCATGATAAAAACCTATGGGCAGACCCCTCGCCAACTGTTCCACACAGCCCATGCCAGTAGACCTGGAGGCAAGCTCAACATTGAAGGAGAGCTCCCAGCTGCCGTGGGACTGTTGGTTCAGTTTGCATTCAGGGAGACCCGGGAACAGGTCAAAGAAATTACCTATCCGGTATGTCAGTTTGGTTTCTGTAGAATTTAGCAAAGCCTGATTGGTATCTTTAGTGCCAGGCCCTTGCCCAGATTCTGTGGATGCAGAAATGGAATGACAAGCTCTGCTCTAGAGATTTGTGCCAGCTAATGTACGATGTACAGGAGCTAGAGCAATGTCCTGTGTGTGAAAACATGAAAATACCCTCTTGCTCATTCTCTCTTCTGTACTGTAGCTGTAGTTGGTGACATCAAGAGAGCCTGAGGAGCTCTGAGGAAATAAGAATTGATGTGCCAGGCAATAGTCTCCCTTCCCCCAAGATGGCCACATAATTAAGAGGATTATGTAAGCAAGAGGAGAGAAGCTGTCAGGACAGCACAGTGAGGGTGTGGTGTGCCTGTGTACACTGCATGGCCTGTTCCTGCCCCTCATCTACAGCCAGAAGCACTGGCCAGTGAGAGCAATGGTTTGGTTTACACTTAAAGAAGAACTTCGCAAGCTTCTTGTAATTATAGAAAATACTGCTTGTAAAAACAAGAGTTGGTATAATTTTTCCTGTAAATTGGAAACTCAAGCAAGCCTTCCCATACACGTCCACTGCTTCACTACTCTGTGCTTCACTCCACCCAAACTGTGTATTCTGTATTCCCCTAATTAATGGTATGGTGGCAGAAATAGAGCCCCAAGGGATATGTACTTTTTTTTTAAAGTAAGTTTTGAACTTAGGGTCTCATATTTGTCAGGCAGATGCTTTACCTCTTGAGCCACATACCCAGCTCATATTTGCTAAAGAGCAGCTAAAAAGTTGTATTTCAGATAAGGTCTTACATTTCTGTCTAGACTAGCCTCAGCAGTAATCCTCCTACCTACAGCCTCCCACATAGCTGGGATGACAGGCATTTGTCAGACACCCAGGCTTTTGTCTGGGCTAGCCTCAAACTCCAGTCCTCCCAAATTCTATCTTCTGGGTAGGTAGGGTTATAGGTATGAGCCATAGCACCTGGTATTTTATTTTTATTTTTTATTGTGAAAATACTGTACAGAGGGGTTACAATTACATGGGCAAGATAATGAGTACATTTCTTATCAAGCATTGTAGCTTCCTCCTTTGCTTCCCCTTCCCATCCCTTCCCATCCTCCCCCTGCCCCCCCCGCCCAATCCCCCCGCCCCCACCAAAGTTGTAAAGTTCATTTTCGACATAACAACTTGTACTTTTCATTGTTGCAATGGGTTCACCTGTATCCTTACTTAAACGACTGTTTTTCCCCTTCCCCTCCACAAATTATACTGACATCAAATACAGTGAAAGCACGGTTATACTGTGGGGGAGGGACATACAAAGCAACAAAGAAATAATCTTATAAATGCATTAGAAACAATCACATGAAAGAAAAAAAAACATTTGAATACATATCTTAGGGTTCATTTCCCTAGCATCACCTTATCTGACTTTTTCTGCTTGACTCAGCCATATACTGGATATTGCAAATAAGGGAAACCATAGGACCAGTGTTTCTTTGGGCTTGGCTTACTTCACTTAATATAATTTTTTCCAAGTCTTTCCATTTCCTAACAAATGGGGCAATATCATTCTTTCTGATGGAAGCATAGAATTCCATTGTGTATATATACCACATTTTCTTGATCCATTCATCTACTGAGGGGCATCTGGATTGGTTCCATCTCTTAGCTAGAGTAAATAATGTGGCAATAAACATAGTTGTGCTGGTAGCTTTAGTGTGGTCTTGTTTGTAAACATTTGGGTAAATGTCCAAAAGTGGGATTGCTGGGTCATAGGGGAGCTCTATGTGGAGTCTTTTGAGGAACCTCCAAAAATGACATAATTACAATGAAAATCATTAGCGTTCCATGGAAATGGCTGAAATTTGCTTAGTATGTTATTTTTTTAGATTTATGAGGAATTTCCTGTGAGAAGTTGAAAGTAAAACAACTGAATGTCTAAAACTGAATGTCTAAAACAAAACCCACTGGCAAAGAAGAGATTATGATAGAGTATAAAACAGTCAAAAGGAGAATGTAAAGAATAAAGTTGCTGGGAGGCACTCTAAAAGGCTGTTTACTCTAAAAGACTTTTTTCTCCTGATTGTCTTCCCAGTAATTGTTTTTACTTGGAGTGGGGAAATCATTTTCATCAGTGTGCGCAGGTGTTTAAACGCCCCTCTCTCCACTCCTCCCAAACACATCTTGCCAATCTTCAAGCTCCACATTCTTCTTTTATTATTTATTACTATCTTTAAAAACTGTATAAAGATGCTCGATTCCACATGTCAGTTATGAGTACAGTGCATCTTCCTCAGTGTCACCCTTTCCATTCTTCTTCCCTATCTCCCATCCCCATCCAACCCCCTCAAGTTACCTGGTTCCATTTTCACATATGGACATTGAGTATGATCACTGTATTCACCCACCCTCCTCCTCCATTTGCCCACCCCTTTCCTCATACCATCTCCCTCAGATAAGACAGGTTCAGATCCAGCTGTATGTTCTTGGAAACCTCTGGCTGCACTCTTGAGTGTTGTATGCTCTGGGTCTGTGCTCTCTCACTAAGTCTTGGCCATTTGTATCCAGCATCCTATGAGAAGCTACTATGTCCTGGCTCCTTGCATTTCAGAGTTTATAGTTAATGAGCGTTTCTCTACTGCCTGTACCTTAATAGGTGTCATATTCCCAGGTTATAGTCCCGTATCATCACCTTTAGTTATTTCAGCTAGCCTGAAGAGAAAATGTGCTTAGCAAAATTTTTTCCTTTGCTTCAGTTTCAAAGAGTTCTCAACTATTAACTGGGCACTTCCAGGCAAGCAAGGCCAGAACTATAGAATAAAAATGAAGTATGGCATCAGGTGCTAGTGGCTCAAACCTGTAATCCTATTTACCCAGGAAGCTGACATCTGAGGATCACAGTTTGAAGCCAGCCTGGGCTGAAAGTCTCCATGAGACTCTTATCTCCAGTTAAGCACCAAAAAAACAGAAGTGGAGCTGTAGCTCAAAGTGGTAGTGCACAGGCCTTGAACAAAAGAGATAGACCAAAAACAAAAGTAAAGAATGCATTGTTCTACATGCTAAGCAAAGGGAAGTCAAAACTTATAAAATAATTCTTGCCCTCTACGTAGTTTAGAATTTAAAATTTGAATAATTCTATATTTACTGGCTTAAAAAACTCCCAACAACCTCATGTTTTTTGCTTCCCTTGGTTGTAGAGCCCTCTGTCCTGGATAAAAGGCTTAAAGTGGGGTGAGTATGTAGGCTCCCCAAGTGCTGCCATGCCTGTGGTCTGCTTCAGCCAGCCCCACGGAGAAAGGTTTGGTTCTCTCCAGGCACTGCCCACCAGAGCGATCTGTGGTTTGTCCCGAAATTTCTGTCTTCTGATGACCTACAGCAAGGAACAAGGTACAATAAAATGATGGGAGTCATTCTGGGTATTGTCGATGAGATCTACATGTGTGCTGATACTTTGTTTGACTTCTAAGATTTTCCCTTCTAGGGAAAAATCTCTGCTCAAATTTGTGGTGACTTAATGTAAAGTAGGAATTAGAACCTAGTCTATGAATGGTGAGAATTAACTCCAGCATCACTTAAAGTGAAAGGAGGAGTTAGAGGAGATGAGAATCCATGGTAATGCTCACAAGATGAAACATTGTCAGCTTGATAGAAATGACTTGAGAGGCTCCGATGCCCACATAGACAGGGGTGGTGAACTATGGTCACCATGGGGCAAGACAGAAAGAATGAAGCAGTTGAAGAGTATCAGAGCAATCCTGTTCTTCTCCTACCCTGGACAGGCCCATGCACAGGAGCACTGTGTGTAGGGGAGCACCTTATACTTCTGAAGGTCACCAGACACTAAGAACTAGGGCTGTTTTCCACTTGCATTAACCCTGCCCCCTTCCAAATGGGCAGTTTCACAGGCACTGGTGCTAGCTGAGAGGGGTGGCCAAAGGCACTTACGGTCAAGTCCAGTGGCTGGCATGTTTGCCTGAAGCCAGCCTGCAGCCAGGGTGCCTTCTTGCCTTTGTTCTGCATACCTTGTTCTCTTCCTAGAATGGGACACTCAACATTGTGGGTTGTAAATGTGTGGGGTATAATGCTCATCCTGTTTGATTTCTACCACTACAGTTGGGCCCCTAGTATGCCCTGGAGAGCTACCTTCTAGCTACAATCTCCCCCACAGAATGGACGAAGATTTGTCAGGATCCAAGTGTGTTCGGGAAATTAGTGTGATTTGAGGCCTCTGGCATCCCAGCCCAGTACCCAAGGTCACCCTTAGCTCTGTTCACTGTGTCATCAAAGTGTGCAGTCTATAATGTGGGAATGGCAAAAGGACTCCTCCCATGATAATTTACTGGGAGAATTCAAAGAAAATATGTGGAAATGCTTAGCACAGGGCCTGGCTCATCCTAAACTCTGAGTATCCATTTAGCTGTAACCCCTTACTCAGCTGGTATCAATGGTCCTTGTGTGGGCTCGCAGCACAGCCCACACAGAGACAGCGCAAGGGCCAGGCTCAGCAGACAGGTGAGAGGCAGGACATTGGCCGCAGTGGGCATACTGAGATCTGTTATACAAGGTTGCTATATTATTTTGTTTGTCTGTCCATGTGGGATACACTGCACCAGCTTCTGAGATGGTTTCGATAACCTTAAGCCCAGTGCAGACCAGTTCTTTAGAAGCAGTGATCTGAATTCCTCCAAACACACTTGCTCAGACCCTGACACACTGAGTCGACTCTGGGACTCCAGTAAACCTCTATACACTGGAAAGACAGGCTTCTTGCATACCATTTACATTATGGAATTTCTCTTCCTGAAAGCAGGGAAATCTATTGAGAAACTTGGTTAATTGAGCACCTGCTGTGTGCTAGCACAATCTTGATCTTAAGGGTCTGAAGTCTTAGAATGTGCAGCCCAAGTCTTCAGCAGTTCACATTGAGGGGAGTTTGTATTCTAAGTGAGTGGATCCCAGTTCCATTGTTATTTAAATAGTATTTAGCGATAAAATTTTCTTCATTGGAATTTTTGTAAATGTGACTGGGATAAATCCAAGTCACAACAGTGATGATAGAAAAGGGTCTGATTCTACATTTAGCAACCTGTTAGCATCTTGGGGATGAAGATGGCTGTGCATTCTAATGTATATACACTTCAGCATTTAGCCTGCTATTGTTTGGCTGTCTTGTGACTTCTGCACAGTAACAACTCTACCTCCTTCCTCTTCCTTGAGGTGTGAGAAGCATGAACAGCACTGACATCCAGTGGTCTGCCATCCTGAGCTGGGGGTATGCCGATAACATCTTGAGGTTGAAGAGTAAGCAAAGTGAGCCCCCAATCAATTTCATTCAAGGTTCACAACAGCACCAGGTAATCATGTTGATTTACTTCTGTACTTCACAAAGGAGTGAGAACAGCAGCTGCACACCAGCACTCTAGCTAGTCTGGCTGATGGCTCACACTCCCCACCACCACTCTTCAGTATCCCTGAACCTGCCTGTCCTTGCTGAGTGTTCATGGCAATCACTGTACCTGGTGCTGACGCTAGCACTGCTTTCTTCCTCGTGTCCACTTGCTCTGTCACAGGTCATCTTCAGTAACTGTAGTGTGTTTCTTGTAACCTCACTTTTCCTAAACAGATCAGATGTTCAGCCTGTGATGTAGCAGGACTCTGGGTTTCCCATCTCATGAGCTGCATTCACTATGCGTGTCCTTCCTGGCAGTAACTCATCAATCTCTCTCCTCCTCTTCCAAATGAGATGATAGTACTCATACTACTTTCTCCCCAAGTGGTTGTGAAAATGTTTCCATGAAACCTATGAACTCTAAATGCTATGCAGGTAGATACACAGTGATATATGACTGTCACAGGCTCTGCACTGAATAAACAGCCTTCTTGTCTGTCCTCCTCAGATTTTCTTACTATTCTTTGACTTCCTTGACCTGTGTAACACCTGCTGCTAGCTCAGCATGTGCGTGCACATATGTATGCGTCCACATGCGCACTGTGTAAGCTGAGTGAGCAGCTCTGCAGAGCTGTTAGCAGCAAGAGCAGAGAGAGTTGGGAGACCAATGCCTCATTCTCTAGGCTAAACAGTAGGTCATCACCATTCATTTCTGTCTTGCCAGTATAATAACATTAGATGTTTTCTTAGGCTGAAACATACCAGCCTATATTAATCACAGCATTTTTGTACAGGCAGAAATATGTGTCCAGACATATGCAAGTGAAAACCATAAATTACACCGAAGCTGGCGGTATAACTCAATTGGAAATGAGTTTATAAAAGTAAATGAAAATGCAAAAACATAGAGTAAGTCTCCTTTTTGGAGATGTTATGAATTTATGGGCTGGGGGTGAAGTATATATATTCTACTTGTCATAATATCTGAATAACATATGAACATAAACAGATTTGTCACCAGGTAAAACTCACTAATGTTATCAGTACCTGTGGGTTTATAAACATCTTGACTTCCCTAGTGAAAGGGTGAAGAAAAAAAAATTTCTATCTGTATTCATTGAATGACAGAGCACCCACTGGTCTCTTCTCTGCTTCCATGCACTTCCCTTCCACATATGGACAAGATCACACAGTGTTTGTCTTTCTGTTCCTGGCAGTTTCAGTCAGCATAGTGTCCTCTAGGTCTGTCCACATTGTGACAAGTGCATAATTTCCTTTTAGAGGCTGAAGTATATATACACATGCAAATATACATGTATATCATACAAGAACCTAAACATTACAAAATTATTTCTGTCATGTAAAATTTGGCACCCAGATGTCATAAAAGCTGAGAGAATGCTCTTATAAGTCTTTGTAGCCAAAAAGGGTAGTTCCAATTCTTGTGGTAAACAATTGTGTAAGAGAGTACTTCTGGAAAATGACTGGGTCAGAATACTACAGTTCATTTGTCCATTGAAATACACTGTTCATTAATTTGCTGTATAGTTGGAGAATATTCATATAGGAATGTAGCATATGAAGACTCTACCTTCTAAGATTTAGATTATGTGGACAAATCATCATCATCAGTCTACAGTTCTGACTCAAAATTAATTATGGAACATCTTTTGTTACTAATAGTAGGAAATTAAAAATTCTGAATTATTAGCTATATTCAGCTAAAGGCAGATTCCAAGAACGGAGCCTCTGCTTTCTGGTATGCGTCCTTGAAAGGTGACACTTTGAACAATGCAGCAGGAAAACCATTAGCTTATTGCATTATCCTTCTGGGAGAGTCTATTTTAATTTTGTTTATTTTTAGCATAGTTGGGAATAATAAGCTATAATGAAATAACCCTTAGAATGATAAAATAGCAAGGTATGTAAAAATATGATCATTAAAATTTTGTGATGTAAACTAGGTTGCAAAAGAGCTTGAGGCATCCATATGGGAATTGCAAGACAGAATTAGTATTAGTCTACAAATTTTTCAAAGTACATTTTCTCTTTGAAAGACTAAGGCTTAGGAAGTATCAATCCTTATAAACCTTTAGAACTAGTAAAGAAAGAAACTAAAAAAAAATTACAGTTGTAATATAGTGGACCCTGGTGGTATAGTGAGATTTAGAAGTGCCTAAGTTAGGAAGGACCAAAGACAGTCATTTTCTAACATTACAGAGACTGACACACATTTGCTGGTCCCACCAGACAGTTTTAAACTATAAGGGACAACTACTTCCTCTGAACCAGGAGACTTGAGACATGACTAGGTGCAGAGGGCAGAAGAGGTACCGAGGTCCATGGCTGACAGCCACCACCTTTCTTCATCTCCTCTACCTCTACGACTGTTAGAAGCAACACCTCTGACATGTGCCCTGATTTCCTTCAGCAACATAAAAATAGTAAAATGCTAAAAGTAAAAAATAAAAGCCAGACATGGTAACATACACATGTGATCCCAGCATTCAGGAGGTAAATGTAGAAGAATTGCAATTTCCAGGCCAACCTTACCAATACACAATGAAACCTTGTCTTAAAGAAGTACATGTGGGGGAAAAAAAAAGAAGTAAATGTGGGGTGGGAATGTGGCTTAGTGGTAGAGTGTTTACTTAACATGCATGAAGCCCTAGGTTTGATTCCTCAGTAGCAATAAACAGAAAAGGCCGGAAGTGGCACTATGGCTCAAGTGGTAGACTGCCTTAAGCAAAAAAAGCTCAAGGACAGTGCCCAGGCCCTGAGTTCAGCCCTAGGACTGGAGAAAAAAAAAGTAAATGTGTGGAACATTACAAATGCACAGTTAATAAGCTTTAGTCAATTTCAGAGTGTTTTGTTAAAGTTGTATGGAACAAGTGACACATGCATATCAGCATACAAAATCACACATTATGTATTATAACACCTTTTAATCTGGAAACAACTTTAAATGTCCGCCCTAACATTACAGAAAATGCTATGGCTACATTTGGCACCATCCTAATTGTTTTGAGTGAGAGGTTTCCTGAAAAAATTTGGCCCTGTCATAATTTAAATATCTGTCAGAAAAGCAGCAGCATTTCCCATGCTTTCTCCTCATGCTAATCTTCAGTTTGTTTGTTTGTTTTTTTTAAGGTGACCAGTTGTGCCTGGGTGCCTGACAGCTGCCAGTTGTTCACCGGGAGCAAGTGTGGTGTCATCACAGCCTATACAAACAGGTTCACCAGTGGCACGGTGGGTCCTGAGCAATATCATCGTAGTGCATGCAACTAGCCTAAACCTTTGCACTTCAGTCTTTTCTACACCAGCTCTTCAAAAGGGAAAGGTCACAGGTCTGACTCTTCAGATTTAGTTCTAGTCTGGTAACAAACAAAACACACATGACACTTTTTTTCCAGCTTACCAATTCCTTCCATCAATCAACTGTCAATGCTACAGTTGAGGATGTGCAGCAAGTTAAAGGGATGATCACCTTTGGAATCTAGAATCTTCTCTGGGTTATTTTTCAGTTAAGAATTTTCTCAGTTACATTGTTAACTATATTTTACTAGTGAAACCTTATTCCTGGCATGGAGAGACTCTCTGGTTCCTTCTTTGAAACCCTTGTTATGGTTCTTTTGCCAGGGCCTCCCTGGGGTGTAAATGGGACCATCATATTGTTTCTCTCACTCAGCCTGTGGAGCCATTAGCAGATGTAAGGCAGGTGTGCTGTGACCATCAGCTTTCTAGAGAGGTCTGGAGAGCCTGCAGGGCATCAGTGGTCCAGGAGGGATGTGGGAAGGACAGAAAGGAAGGCAGGCTGATGGGGGCATGAGCTCTATGACAGGTTCCCACAGAGGGGCGGAGCATGGGCTCTCTATGACAGGTTCCAGTGGGGCAGAGGGGAGCATGAGCTCTATGACAGGTTCCCACAGGGTGGGAGGAAGGGGAAGGGGAGCATGAGTTCAATGACAGGTTCTCACAGGGCAGGATTGGCAGCATGAACTCTGTGACAGGTTCCCACAGGTCAGGGGGAGGGCAGCATGAGCTCTGTGACAGGTTCCCACCAGGCAGAGGGGCCAACAAGATGTCAGGTATTTGGGAAGGGTGTGGGAGCTGGGTTTCAGTGATCACTTCCTTATGTGGAGAAGAGAAGAGACAGCATTTCCGCAGAAGACCCAGCTGTGATGACAATCTGGAATATAAGAGCAAGGCTGGCAGTCTGGGGTAGCAAGTCATTTTCTGGGTAGAATGTAACATGAGAGGCACAGGAGAAGTAGAGGTGAGGTCCTGCAGGCTGCGGTACACAGAATGCTGAGGAACCTAAGCCAAAAAGTTGGATGCCCAGAATGTCTTCTTTGTTCTCCTAAGGCCTAATATGGATGTTCATCCCTGCTCATACATGATACTCATGCCTGTGCACATGTCTAGTCTTCTCAGCCCGCCTTGTTCTCTTTCCTTCCTCCTGCAAGCCTTTCCACCAGGAGTCATTTCATACCATAGCTTTTTAAAACTGGCTTCATCTTGTACTTTTTGTTTCCATTTGCATTTCCAACAGCCTTGTTCTTAGTTCTCACCATTTCTTCCATTTTCAGTTGTATGCCAACACAGTATGCGGTACAAGTTTAAAAAGAAAAAGATTAAGCTTTTAGGCAGGAGTAATTCTGCACAGAATACCTTTGAATATAGCAGGTCAAGGGTATAGCTAGTATAATTGACATACAGCACGTGTGCTTCTTTTGGCTTTGAAGTCATGGTAGGCTAATGAAGGCTTGTATTACTTAACTCTCCTCAGAAATACATTTGCCTGAAAGCAGACTTTTTCTTCTCATTGGTAAGGATTTTCATCACTAGTTGGTAATCATGAGATTAACAGTTCCTATTTAAACAGCATCCCTATGTCTCCTCCTGTCCCCTGCCCCCCCCAAAAAAAAACAGCAACTCAATCCAGGTTCCAGTGGCTCACACCTGTAATCCTAGTTACTCAGAGGCTGAGATCTAAGGACTGTGGCTCAAAGCCAACTGAGATAGACAAAATCTGAAGACTTAACTTCAGTTAAACATCAAAAAGCCAGTACTATTGATGTGGTTCAAGTGGAAGAGTATCAGCCATAAGTGAAAAAGCCAAGTAAGAACACAAGGCCCTGAGTTAAAGCCCCAATACCAGTGATGTGTAGTGTTTATAAACATGAGGAACAATGTGATCTGTTGTTTACTGTGGTAATATAGACGGAGGAGTATAAATACAAAAGTTAGTGCTTCTGAAAAGGGAGAAGAGATAGAAAGTAGAACAATATATACATTATATGCTTCATATTTAAGGCATTATTTATTTAGAAATAAATTGTAATATACAATGTTAAGATTTGTTAACCAAATAAACAGCAGTTAGTTCTTTATTCTTTTTACATTTTTTTATTTCTTTGAAAGGGAAATGCTGGAACACTTGTGATGCTAAACAGCCCAACAAAGAAAACAAGGGTCAGGATTGTGTGGCCTCCAGCCTCCATGTGCCAGCAGAGCCCTTACATAGCAGTTAAAGTCAGCCCTGACTGTTGACAGTGACACGGTCCTAGTGGCCAACACTATAGTAATATCACCAATTGGTGTGACACCTTGGAAAAACACAGCATCAAGAACCATAAGTTTGGCCAGGCATTGGTGGTCATTCCTATAATCCTGTCTACTCTAAATACAGAGATTAGGAGGATTGAGGTTCCAGGCTGGCCCTGGCCAAAAAAAAAAAAAAAATCTTGAGGCCCACCATCTCAATCAACAGCTCATGCTGTTATATTTACCTGTTCTCCCAACTACAGTGGGGAATGTAAATTGGGATTGTGGTCCAGACAGACTTAGAAAGCAAGACCTATCCTAAAAATAGCCAGAGCAAAAAGGACTGGAGGCATAGCTCAAGTGGTAGAGTGTCTGCCTAACAAGTGTGAAACTGAGTTCAAACTCAATATCGCCTGGGGCTGGGACGTTGGCTCAGTGATAGAGTGCTTGCCTTGCATACATGAGGCCCTGGGTTCGATTCCTCAGCACCACATAAGCAGAAAAAAGCCAGAAGTGGCACTGTGGCTCAAATGGTAGGGTCCTAGCCTTGAGCTGAAGAACAGAGGGACAGTGCCCAGGCCCAGAGTTCAGCCCCCACGACCAACCCAAAAAAAAAAAAAGTCAGTACCACCAAAAGTAAAAACTATAAATCTACTGATCTTCCAGTGAAACACTGTGAAATTACTCTAAAGAAATAATATGAAGAACAAAAGTTTTATACATGAAAAATGTATGGCACTGTCTATAATTTGTCTATAATTTGAAAAAATGGAAAAAGGTATTATTTGTATCAATGAAAGTTACTCAAATTATGATATACTAACTATAGAATGTTAATCTATTAAAATAATTTTGAAGACAGTATCAAAGTAGGAAATAATTATAGAAGGATGTACAAAATATGAATGAAAATCATTTGCATATCAATATTCAGCTATAAATTATGCATTATTGAACAAACACTGGACAGTAGACCAAAATGAAAAGCAGGTAAGCTGATGTAATTGGATCATGTCATTTTTGCCTGTTAAAAACGTTTGAACTAGCCGGGCGCTGGTGGCTCACGCCTGTAATCCTAGCTACTCAGGAGGCTGAGATCTGAGGATTGCGGTTCAAAGCCAGCCCGGGCAAGAAAGACCGTGAGACTCCTATCTCCAATAAACCACCAGAAAACCGGAAGTGGCGCTGTAGCTCAAGTGGTAGAGC